CTATTGTGACCATTACAGATGTACGGGGGCGGGTGATCTCTTGGTCTTCCGCGGGCACTTGTGGATTCAGAGGCACAAGACGAGGGACACCGTTTGCTGCTCAAACCGCAGCAGGAAATGCTATTCGGACAGTAGTAGATCAAGGTATGCAACGAGCGGAAGTCATGATAAAAGGGCCCGGTCTCGGAAGAGATGCGGCATTAAGGGCTATTCGTAGAAGTGGTATACTATTAAGTTTTGTTCGGGATGTAACCCCTATGCCGCATAATGGCTGCAGGCCCCCTAAAAAAAGACGCGTATAAGAATAAACATTGAAGAGATTTCAAGAGAAAAAAATTCAATGATCTGATCAAAAAATAATAATATTTTTTTATGGTTCGAGAAAAAGTAACAATATCTAATAGGACCCTCCAATGGAAGTGCGTTGAATCAAGAACCGACAGTAAGCGTCCCCGTTGTCTTCTTCTATGAGCTTTTTTTTTTTTTTTTTTTGCCAAAGGTTATCCCACAAGATGGGAAACAGCAAGATACGAAATATATGTACAAAATCATTACAGACCAAATTACAAAAGATAAATAAGGAAGAAGCGTTGGAGGATCCAACGACAAGAGGGCTCTTTTTGCCACGATATGGGCAGCCCTTGGTACCTTAAGGACATGGGCAATATCATGATTTCTTCTCTTAAAAGTACCAAAATCATGAATTAACCACGCTGAATATTGAAGCAGAGAAGCAGACCCTTGCCGATTCTGATGCATTCCTGCAAAATGAACAATCACATAGACTGCAAAATAGTATAAATTCCACTATCGAAAAAGCAGCTACACCTCCCTGATGCCACCTAGAATTTGACGGAGACATATCTAGTGGATTGGAAGTGGCCCATAACACCAATCAGAGCCAAGACTCAAGAGGGAGTTCCTGGGGCAGTAGAAACCAATAAACCTGCAAAACAAACAAAGAAAAAGGTCGAGGGCCAAATGCCAAATAAGCCGATAAAGAAGGCCCATCAAAGCCCATAAAAGGCATGCGGACAAATTGAACCATGGCCCAACAAGGAAAAGGCAGACGGGCAAAGAAGATAACACGCTACTGCTGAGTGCTGATTGCAGCAATTGCCACGCGTCTAATCCAGCCATGTCCACCAGGCCACCACCACTAAAAATCTACAATTGTCCTGCGGGATAAGAAAAGAAGAGAATCCCAAGAGCTAGCGACGCGTCAACTGCCACGCGTCCTCTCTCAGACGAATCCACCGCTGCTAACGAGACAAGCCAGCCAAAGAAGCAACCGGCCAATGGCGAGGATCGCCGGCTTCAACAGCGACGGCAGGCATCGGGGGAGATTGAAGCTAACCGGCGGTACCAATCCAGTGCCAAAAAGGGACCCTGCATCATTGAACAGAAACAAAGAAAAAAAACACCACCACCGAACCAAGGGAACACTTCATAGTATGCCCAGCCAGGAAAGGCAGCAGTTGGGCGGAGGAGAAAAGGCATCAGTCTGGTTAAAAATCTCGAAATAGAAATAAAGCCAAAGAAATATAAAGTCGAATCAATAAAATTAAATAACAATTCAGAAAACAAATCAGTAATAATCGAAAAGTAGGGAAGGAGGAAAAGCAGAGGCGGATCCTGGCCCCCGAATCGTCTTCTTCTATGAGCTTGCTCCATCAACAAATTTCACTGAGTACCCGCCCACATTTTCATAGCTCAAAATCCTTATATATTCGCTAGGTTGTCGTGGTATAAGGATTTTCATGATTCTCTGCCTCTCTTGAGCGGTGAAATGAGTTTGTAATAGGGGTTCATTCCACGTCCTTGTAAATTCATCCAAGAGCTCATTTACTTATGCAGTTGGCCCCAACTGAGAGCTAGGAGACTGTACCTTGAATTGTAGCCTATACTTACTATGAATTGTATTTAGTTTATCGTACTTACAAAGGGTAAAGTTCTCTTTCATTAATGCTATGTTTTGTGTTTTTTTTTCCTTTTAGATGGTTGTAGCTGAGACATAAACAACCGATTTGTTCGGTTGTCTTTGGACTCAATATGATTTCGATTTATCAATGCTCTGTATAATTAATTAATTACAATTACATTTTATTATTATTATATATTAATATTGTTGTTGTTACTGTTGTTGTTATTATCATTATCATTAGGGATGGGCATCCAGTTCGATAAACCCGAACCAAACCCGACCAAAATCGAATTAAACCAAACCGAAACAGAATTAGTGTTGTTCGGTTCGAAATTCGGAAGCCAAAACCCTTTATTTCGGGAACCAGGGGTATACAGACCGAAACTGAATTCCGATCAACCCAACCGATCAGCCGAACAAAAAATTTAACCCAATCCTACAACCCAACTGACTACTCAACCTCTCACAAAAGCCCAATTCTCACAACCCAAATCAAACAGAACCCAAAAATAAATCCCTCACAACCCAAATCAAATAGAGCCCAAAAAAAAATCCCTCAAGCCCACAACTCTTTCATACTTACTGCTAACCTAAACCTAACAAAGAAGATAAAAAAACCCAAGCATCACCGCCGCCAACGACCATCAAGCATCACCGCCGTCCACCAAATCCTCCTATCATCTCTTGGCCTTGCCGCAAACTTCTCCTCTACGGGTCGATGACATTTCCCCTCTCTCCGATCTCTTCTCTTCCCTGAGACCAGAAACCCAAATTCAAACATAAAACCCCAAATGCATCAAAATCAATATTGAAAATCAAAGGCTTCTTCTCCAAAATCGAAGCTTTCTTCTCCTGAATCGAAAAGAGCGATGATGCTACTGAAACTCGAAGGTGAAAATCAAACAGAAAAATGACATGCATGCTTAGATCTACACTCATAGTGACCTCAAACATTCAATCGTCGTGTCTGCCTGTCGCAACGTTGTGTTCTGACTTCCGCATCAATCGTCGTTGCCGTTGAGTCGCCAGACGGAGGAGATACCACCGCAGCACCACTTCTTTCTGCTCGCCGCTGAGTCAGGAGACGGAGGAGATACCACCACCGCAGCACCGCTCCTTTGAGTCGGGTATTTTTTATTTTCTTTTTTTAACCAAACTCATGGATAACTAACCTAATTCGATCCAGTCAAAGCAAGTTGAACTCGATATTTACGAGTTTTAAGTTAGGAGCAAGTTTAAGCACATCAATAATTGACAGGTTGGCATGGATGTGAATTTTGTTAAAAACTTGGCCCACTTTCCATCTGAACTGCACCTAAAATACAAAAAAAAAAAAAAAAAATCGACTCGGTCAAAGCGGGTTGAATCCAGTGTTGAAGAGTTTTGGTTTATGAGCGAATTTTACCCTCTTTGCTAATTGAAGGGTTGGGTCGGGTGTGTCTTTTATTAAAAACTCAGTCGACTTTGCATCCGACACCTGAAACATAGTTAGTAAAATACGGTACGGAAAAGTTAAGTATAAAATACGTACAGGTATTATACTTCGTCTTTTAGCTAATATTACGTTTAATAGTACGTTAATGATCATAAATATATAAAATTAATTATTTTTAGAAATTAATAAATATGTAAGCATAGTAAATTTAATAATTTATTTCATTAAATACGGATATTAAACGTGTTATACGGGTTTTATATGTGTTTAGTACGGGAGTCGTCAAATGAATGGAAACTAATGAAACGGCTTGACAATAATACGTATATGGAAGTTTTAAACGGATAAAGTACGTCGGGTACATATATGTGTATTAAACGGAGTATTCACTAACTATGACCTGAAACACAAAACAACCAACCCGGTCAAAGCGGGTTAAATCCGGTATTGAAAATTTGTGGTTCGGGAGCGAGTGGGACCTAGTGTTGACGAGTTTTTGGTCGTGAGGAAGTTTACACACTTTTTTAGATAACGAGTTGGATCGGATGTGGATTTTGTTAAAAACTCGACCCACTTTTCATCCTACCCGCACCAATAAAAAACTAAACAATCGACCCAGGCAAAGCGGTTAGACTTGGAATTGACGAGTTTTGACTGAGACTGAGTTTTAGCCGCTTTTATTATTGGCCGGATGGCTGGGTGTGGATTATGTTTAAACTCATTTCGCTAGCTTTCCAAGACGCAAAAAAAAAAAAAAAACATAACAATGTCATTAAAGGGATGGCCGGATGGGTGTCCAATCTAATTCAACATGCTTAGTGGTTGAGCCTGTTGGTGACGGGTTCCGAGTCAGAAGCGAGTTACACCCGATTTTGTAATAGGTCGGTTGGGTTGGGGTGTGACTTTTGTTAAAATTCAGTATGCTTTCCATTTGACTCGCACGAAAAAAGACAAAACAATGTCGAATTCCTACTATAGCTTACTCTCTTCACCTTACGAAAACACATTTCTGTTGTGAGATGATATAATGAACCGTATTTAAAACCATTATGTAATAAATCGATAATGTTACTTCTCATAATGCTAACTATCTGTTTATATAATCCCAAATTACTAAATTCACGTCCCGCCTGCAGCTGTCGTGCTAGTCTATTTTAATGGATGAGAATAACAATCTTCACTTTAATAAAGAGTAGAATAACAATTTTCATGGATGATTGAGGGGTGGTTTCCTATAGCTAGACACAATGTACGTACGTAGAAGCCGTTGGAGTTATGAGAGGGGCACTTGTTATTATTTAATAATTTTGTGGTGAGCATATATATATATATATATATATATATATATATATATATGCAATAATGCAATCAGTAACGTGCTGGTATGCCTAGCTAACTAATCACTGCTCTCACACGCTTTGTTATGCGCCACACCCACTTTCCGTTTCCCCCCTTTTTCCTCCCTCAGTAGTATGCATTTCCCCCCATCCATAGCCAACTATGGATCACAATTCACACATAACTAACCCATCCGCCTACGTACTAGAAGTGTTCAAGTTACATACTATTATCATCCCACGAGCTTGAAAATATGTGTGTATATAAAAGGCCGCATCATTGGACTATAACATGCACTAAAACACAAGAGTGTGGTATAATATTTATAAGAAGACATAGATAAGTAGCTAGCGTGACAAAAAAAAAAAATGAATTCTCATACTTTTTCCAAGGTTGTAGCAGCATATGTCTTGTTCGTGGCGGTGGTGCTGGGAAGCAGTAGTTGTGGGATGTTTGTTCGTGGAGAAACCAGCTTTGATGAGAACTATGGAGTGACATGGGGGTTTGATCACGCCAAGTCGTACCATCAAGGAACTGAAGTTCAGCTCTCCCTCGATCTTGCTTCCGGTCCGATCCATCTCTTTCCTCACCAATATCCATCATATACATATATATGTTACGTCGTAATTAATCTTCTTGTTAGCTTTTCTTCGATCGTTTTGTAGTCGTTGCGTTACTCTTATATATGACATACCATATATTTTTTTCCCGTTATTGTTGTTGAAAGATGTGACATATGGATAACTAATTTAATCCCTTTTGTGATACGCAAATACGTACATATTGCAGGCGCTGGGTTTGAGTCGAAAGTGAGTTACGGGTCCGGAAGTTTTCACATGAAAATAAAGCTCCCAGGAAGGAATTCTGCTGGGGTTGTTACGGCATTCTACGTACGTTCTGTTAGTCATTCATTTCCTTGATTTTTGCTTCTATATTGCATACATCAATATTTTGGTTATCAATAACTATAGTGTCATGAATACATTGTTTTTTTTCTTCTTCTAAATCACATAAAAATATGTTACAGCTGACGTCGTCACCGGTGTCGGGACATGATGAGTTGGACATAGAGTTCCTGGGGAACCAGGAAGGGAAACCGATCACATTGCAGACCAACATCTTCATCAACGGCAAGGGAGACAGGGAGCAACGGTTTCACCTCTGGTTCGACCCCACCGCCGATTTCCACGACTACACTATCCTCTGGAATCATCATCAAGTCGCGTAAGTACAAGTAGATTAAAAAAAAAATACGTGACATGTTACTAATTCACTGTCGCGCGCCCTATACAATTAACACGAAATGTTACGTTACGTTGCGTTGCGCTGCGCTGCAGATTTTTGGTGGACAACATTCCGATAAGAATGCTGAAGAACGTGAAGGGGATCGGGTATCCGGCGGGCCACCCGCTGAAGGTGGTGGGGAGCCTGTGGAACGCGAGCTGGGCCACCGACGGTGGCGCCACGCCGATCGACTGGAGCTACGCTCCGTTTCAGGCGCAGTTCCGCGATTTCGGGGTCAGCGGGTGTCCCGCCGCCGCGTACGCCGACCTCCGCGGTTGTTTCTCGCCGAGTTACTGGTGGAACGATAAGCAGTACTGGAGGCTCAGCAAGGCGCAGCTGAAGGCGTACCTGGACACCCGCAAAAGGTACATGAGCTACGACTACTGCTCCGATTCCGCCCGGTATCCTACGCCGCCGCCGGAGTGCGGTTTCCAATGATGATCGTCGATCGGTAATAAGCCTGCCTGATTGATGATGTAGTTAATCACTTAGAAATAAAGATGGTTGGTTAATATATATGTTTACTCTAAATTTACACAATGTAAGTTGGAAGTTGGAAGAACCCCTCAATTTATGCCTTCTTAAGGAAAAATATCATTGTAGAATGTGTTTTGGTACCTAATATTCTTCATTATAATATTCTAGTACCTAAACTTGTCAAAATTTTCATAAAGGTCCAATGTTTAGATGTCACGTAAATCCATGATCGAAATCTAGGAATCCACCAATCAACCAATTCGTGAATCCAATCTACTTATCATCTCTATCACTAGATAAAGATACAAGAGTACAACAAGTAGAGCCACCAATTCAACGCTATGAGCCACTTTCTTAATTATACACCCTTCTACATCTTTCATGTCGGATATAAGTGGTACATACTGCCCACAACAAACAACACAGTTTGTTGTAGTTTTTGTTTGTCTCCGAAACTCGGTAGATAACATGATAGTAGCATCCCAAGTAGCTTCGTAACAAAAAGAACCACATTTCAGCCTACCCAACAACTCCCTGACATAAGAACAGTAATAGAAGAGATGTTGTAGAGCCTCTCGCACAACACCACACATGATATAGTATTTCATGCAAGTGATAAAAAGTTCTAGGATGTCCTAGGGTCGTATTCCTCGAGGTCTTCTAATGCACAAATACTCACACCAACCATCATGACATACACGAAAAGAATAAATACATTTAGGAATTTTTTATTAGACAAACTAGCTAATGCATGCTTTTACTTCATGTCATTACCTAATTAATAAAGAACAAGAAAGTTTGGATAATATATAGTTAATTTTGGGCTTGTACAAACCATAAATATAGTCTATAGCATTGATGATCTAACAATCAAGCATTGATACTATTTGAAGCATAGATGGGTGATCAATCCATCTCTACTCGTGTAGCATCAATGGGGTATCCCTAGAAGGTCATTTCTTGACAATTTAGGCAATACTAGACACAATGCATATTGTAGCATACAATAGAATCATAACTATCAATGGTATAAGAGCATTCATACTATAGAGACATCAGTGACCATTATAAGTATCGAATGCAAGAAAGCATTCATACATAATCATAGGCATCAAAGTCTTCGTAGACAAACACAAGCATGACATGAAATCATAGCACTCATTCAGATAACAATAATCAAAATCACATCCTAATACAATCAATTTACAATAGCTACATAGAGGAGAAGGAAGGTACCACCATTGATGATGACAACATCTCCTTAGCTGCAGACCCCCCTACTTTGACTATGCTAAACACTCGTGTAGAGTGTTATACATATTTATGTGTTTGTGCAACCTTACTTTTACAATGCAAACATGACCTCTCTATAGGGGATAATCCGGCCTAAAAGAACCTAACTCGTCTAGGAAAGAGTCTCCTAAACCTAGCAGACTTATGAAACTTCCTCAACAAGGCAAAGGGAAGGCGACAGTGGGGCGTCGGTTAGACCCGTTGCCTGGGTCGCCGCTCATTTCTTCTTTAGACTGTGATGATACTTCCTCCAATGGGCTAGTCTTGACATATTCTAGCAACTTTAGTTGTTTTCTCCGTCATTGGACCACTTCTCTCTGTGAAAACTCCTTAATCTTCTCTATAGCACATTTGGTCCTCCGGAGTTCTTCAATGCTTGATCCAATCTTCCTTAGATTGCTTTGTACCTTCAAAACTATCAAAAGTATACTAAGAAAGCATCAAATAGTACAAGAACGTTACCTACATCTATTAAAAGCTCATTGATCAAATAACACCTCAAGAATTACTAATCCAGAAACTAAAGTAACAGTTATAGAATGAGTGGCTAGTGTATTGGAGCCATTTGGTAAGGTGATGTAGATATCAGGAATATGTTATAACTAGAGAAACGTGAAAATGAACAAGTGGCATGTTCTGTAGTACCAGTTTCAAGAAACCAAACATTGACAAGTTCATCAATTGGTTGCGTAATAAACCACGTAGATAGAGTGAATTTACCTGTACGATTTGGGTTTACTGACAAGTATCGACCCACTGAATTGTCCACTGGCTAGATCTGTGTAGGAAATGGAGGAGTCATGCTTGTGTTAGGTGACATAGGAGAAGTCGATGATTGTTGACGACTGATCTGGCATAATAGTTTTTGGAGCCTACTCAGATCAACCACAAAAGGCCTGATGTTGGTGAAACCATCCCCACTGTAGGCAATAACCCTAACTAACCCCAAAGCCTACTAACCTAACGTCGCTAGCTTGGCCACCCCTAGTAGACTACTACATGGTCTCTACCCAATAACTACTCAGCTCGTGCTATTACATGAACTAACAAACTACTACTAACTACCAAACCCACCAACTAAGGGTGGGGCATCCCGTTCGGTAAACCCAAACCAAACGAATCAAACCAAACTGAAACATAACTGAAACCGAATTACTATTATTCGGTTTGGAATTCGGAAGCAAAATATGCATATTTCGAAAATCAGGATCCTCACGACCGAACCCGAATTCAAATCTCCAAACCAAAAAAACTGAAATAATACACCCAAATCACATATTCAGACCTCACCCTCATACCTCACTGAGCCTCGGCCCATATCTCTCACCCACTCATCAGTCCATCCCCCTCACCACTCAACTAACCCTAATAGACTACAAAAGAGACAGGTCGTGGAGAATTGCTCTCCGATCTCAACCCTCTCGCTCCTCCCCTCCGTCCACCGCCCTCATCCTCGTCACCATCACCTTTCTTCCTTTTTTCACTTCGAGAACAGAGTTAGAGAGATCTCTACCACTTCAATCGTGCCACCGAAGACCACATGTAGATGATGCTACCTGATTCTTCGTCGCCACTGTCGCCATGTTGTTCAATCGCTCAGAATCTTTGTCAACATCACGACATCAATCGGCGTTACCTTTGCCGCCGCCGTGTTCTCTTGATCAATCGTCATTGTCGTTGAATTAGGAGACAGAGAGAGAGAGAGAGAGAGAGAGAGAGAGAGAGAGAGAGAGAGAGAGAGAGAGAGAGAGGAGGAGAAGGATTAATCTGGGGCATAGATTTTTTATGGGGAGATAAGGTTGGTTGGTTCTATAGTTTTGGGTTTGGCCCTTGAAACCGAACGATACCAAGTTATATTTCAGGTCAAATTCGGTTAGGTGCATAGGCTGCTTAGGGGACCCGCTTTGCTTAATTTCTATTTGGTTTCAACCGAACCAAACCGGTGCCCACCCCTACCACCAACAACTATCCGTCGGCCGTTGCTACTATTACTCCACGTTTTGCGATGACAAATTTCGTCTCCCAAGCTCCACAAGGAATTGGCGATGCAAATGCTCGCCGCTAAAACATAATTTACCGTCACCAAATGTAGCACCTCACTTCCCCAAAAAATTATGCGAATGTGGGATGAAAAGAGAAAATCCGTTGCAGAAACACATCTTTTAGCGACAATTCTTCTTCTTGTCGCCATTTTCCCGTCACCAAAGTTTTTTTTTAGTGCCATGAACTTAACAATTGAGTGATGAAATCCCACCACAATCACTCATAATTGAGTGATTATCAACCTCTACTTTTTATTGAGATTCTTAAGAGTCACTCAAAATTGACTTTGTGGGTTACAACAAAATACAATCTAAACCTCCAAACAAGCATCCCAACCTTAGTTTCTTTGAGTGCTTGCTTGGTCTTCAATTTTATAATTTTGTCCTGGACTTTTCGTACTTATGTACCCCTTCGTTTCACCCCTTGCATTTATTAATTAGGGGTTATCTGCTTTGGTTTTAGAACCGGACCGGACGCTGAACCGGAAAATTCACTGGTTTAGTGTTCAGTAGTTAACCGTAACAAAACCGTTGATAGTACCGTTCATGATATACAATATACAAGACCTTTATAATACACTAATTTAAGAATGAAGTTATCATTTACTATAAACAATTTCAAATTCATATCATCACAAAAATATATAACAAATCATTCAAACCGTACATAATTTTTTTAATTAAAGTTAAACATTATGGTGTCAATCGATAGTGGACCACGTAAAGTTGCACTTACTATATAAATATTTCATAAGTAACGAGAGAGAGTTAGTTTCCCGTTATAAGAAAAAAGTATTTCATGAATGTAAATTTTTCCGAAATCACAATGTAAGCTGCAGGCTATTTGTAAAAAAAAGGCAAGGAATAATCACAGCACGTACAGCCAGGCGCCATATTAGCTACTCAAATTTTAGGAGGACGCACCATAAAACCACGTTACCATAAATCGAAAATAAGTTTCCCCATCTTACCATTACCTCGCACCAATTGCTCCATCAAACATCCGTCCACCGCTATATAAATCACTTTTAGACAGATTCAGAATCGATCACACGACATCATCATATTCCAAATAATAATAACAATATACTGTTATATTATTTAGAAACGCAGCGATATAACATAGGCGTAATAATAATGAACAGGTCGGCAGCAGCTTTTGCGACGGTGGCGCTCTGGGTATCCCTCGCCGCCGCCGCCAACACGGACGCTTCCTGGTGGGCCTACACGCACGTCCACGTGGTGAACGAATTCGGCGGCGGCCGGGTGCTGACGGTGCACTGCAAGTCGAGGGACGACAACATGGGAACGCACTGGGTCGGGCCCAACTCGGAGTACGAGTGGAGGTTCCGGCCCAGCATCTTCGGGAACACGCTGTTTTGGTGCCACGTTTGGAAGGGCGGCAGCCAGATCGTATACGACGCCTATTACGCCGACGACGACAAGCTGTACGACAGGGTCTACATGGACAACTCGTACTGGGTTGTTAAGGACGACGGCCTTTATTTGCGTCAGTTTTGGAAAGGGGTAGACGTCTTCTGGCGCCCATGGCCCTGATCATATTCATGCAGCTTAAGCCAGCTGGCTTGCTAGGGTTTCCTACTTCTTTTAGTTTAGCCGTATTTTTCTGTGTGGCGTCGGGTCGGGTCGGGTCTTCTGTTTTTAATATTTAGTTACTGTGTTAATTAGAAGGAAGAAATGGGGTCGTCAATAGTTCGTAGCTATATAATTAGTCGATAATAGATGATGGTGTTGTTAGCCAGCAGTAGTTAGGAATCTTTGAACATTTTTCGATTCAGTGTTATGAATGAATAAATAAAATGGGATTGAAATTTGTGGTAGTTTGTTCCTGTTATTCATGAGACGAATATCTGTTAGTGGAAAGAGGTGTTTAATTCGGCATATTTTTTCTTTTGGGGAATATATAATCCAATTGATGTGTGGAGATCGGTAGCTAGCTATGGGCTATGTGATTAATATTCAATATTCACAAATATTCTTGCCGATTTGGCGATTTCTCCAACAGAAAATCTACAATAAGGTTAATTCTTTAAAAAAAAATGCTAATTTCACTAGAAGATCACAACTACAAGAAAAATGTTGATTTTGTCATAAAATTACTAGCATGAACTATGAGACTTTTGGGACATTTCTATCCTGACGATTTTATTGGCTAATAGAGATAACGGTTAACAAGACAGTGATCAAAACGACGTTGACTTATGATGATGTGGCAAACGTGGTTGACAAGTAGATGTCATGTCATTGATGATTAATTTTTATTTTTTAGAATAAAATACAAACAAAACAAAAAAAGCGTTCTTCTATCTTTACCGTCCTCGCAATCTCTTCCCAATCATTATCGAACATTGCCACCAGAGGCTCCGCCTTCTCCTCCTCCATACTTGACCAAGTCTCTCTCCCTCTCTCTTCAAAGAAATGGAAAAAAAATTACTATGTCTGGGAGGGTCATGGCCGTCTTAAGGTCCATGGATGACTCGCAAGAGGGCCCATAGGCATGACTGAGAAGTCCATTGACGCAAAATAAGAGGACCCCGGGAAAGATTGAAAAATACTAAGTATGAGAAAGATAAGCAGTATCACAAGAGGGAACATGGTCGCGAATGAAGAGGTCATACCATGACAAGCCTCATGACCAAGAGTGAACGCCCAAAAATATACTACGTCTGGGAACCATGGTTGTCTCACGACAGGGGTTGTAACATCCCAAACCTTTTCCTGAGCAAGATATTGTCCGCTTTGGGCCTCCACCCTCACGGTTTTTGCCTTGGGGTGCAATTCAAGGTGACTTCCCATAAGATCACCCATCCTTGTTGTACTCCACACTAAGCACGTTTAACTTCGGAGTTCTCACAAGAACTCCTCCATTACACCCCAAAACGCTTCTTGTCCGTTAAGGCCGGTTTCCTACTTATGAACCATGGATCTCTCCCGTGCTTTGTCAATGTGGGATTTGCCTAAGGTGTTACAGGGGTCATGGCCATGACTTAGAGGTCCGCGACCGTGTCGCAAGAGTGGCCGTGGGTATGACCGAGAAGGGCGTGGTCATCGAGCATTATATCACTAGTCATGCGGCTAAGTTCCAAGAGGTCCATGACCGTGAGAGAAGAGGGTCATAGACATGAGTAAGAAGTCCACGACCACGAGGTAAAAGGACCACGACCTTCTTTGCAAGACATCGTATGCTCATCAAAAGACTAACTTGGCACAAGATTTGGAACAATACTAGGCGAGACAAGCTACACTCAAAGTCTCCCACAAAAATTCCAAGAGAGGCACTTAGGTGGTTGAAGGAGTAACCACCACTCTGAAGAAGAGTAGCGATTCTTTGTAGCAGTTATTCAAGAGGTAGTTTCTACGACAATTATCTTCGTATGACTATAAATATGAGGAAGGGTCTAAGGAAAGAGGGTTTCCAAAACTACACAGCTTACGCCTACATCAAGTTTTTATCTCTTCCCTACAAATGTAGTCATAGTTTGGAACTCTCGTTGAACCTCCATAGGAGTAGGAATAACTTAACTTAGTATTCATTCCAAAAACCATCAATTAAACACCCTCGTTTGAACTTTGTTTGAAGAGGTGTGAGTCGTGTCTTAGTAATCATTTGGTAAGAAGTCAAAGGTCCATTAATCTCAATTTTACTCTAGTTTTCCCCTCGAAAAATAAACTGGCACACTTGGTGGGACAACTGTGTTTGATTTGATAGCTCAAAGATGGAGGAACCATTAAGGTGATACTCCACCTAGGTTCGTGGAAAATCAAGTTGAAGAAGTTGGTGTCGGAGACAATGACGGGATGGAGCATCTGCAGGTGCCGATTCTAAAGTATGAACTTAGACATACTGACCACTATTGGGTCACTTCATCAATGCATTGAGGAGGCTTTGGAAAGATACACACTTCAGGTCAATTCTCAAATTTTTGGTTGTGAAACCCTTGCTTCATCTTCATTTCTCCTATTTATAGCTATCAAGTGTAACCGCCTCTTTGTAACCGCTCCTCTACTACTTGGTGTTTGATATAGCTTGATTGACACAATTGCTTCCATGCATACCACTTGATACCTTGACAACTTAACTTGATAAGTATCTTCCTTGCTGGCTTGTCTTGTACCCTACTAGGTATGCTTGTGCCTAGCATGCTTGCCTACATGGGTGAGGGTGCGTTGTGCCTACCCCCTTGGCATGATGTCATGCTTGGTACCCTGGTGCTTGGTAGGCAGGCGAGGAAGAGGTTCCATATTTAACCAATTTTCACCCCACTTTATTGCATTATACTTGACTATGTATTTTCTTGATAAGTGAGCGGCGAGGGGGTTGACCCCTTGATGAGCGGCATCATGCTTTTAGAGTCTTGAAAAGGGATACCCATGCACTAATCATGATGGGTAGGCGGCAAGGCATGCATGCACTAACCTTCCTTGGATAACGTCATGCTTGACAACCCAATGCTTGATAGGTTCGCAGCGAGCATACATGATAACTGGATATGTGGTATGCTTGATAGGAGAGTGGTGAGGTCTCTACACTTAGTCAAATTCCACCCCTCTTAGATGATGTCATGCTTGACACCCCAATGCTTGGTAGGTGAGCGAAAAACTTGACAATTGTGTACTTGATTGGTCGATGTTTGATAGGTGGGTACTTGGGATATTCATGCTTGATGGGTACTTGAGGGGTAGACGATGATGCATACGCCAACATCCACCCTCCTTGAATGACGTTATGCTTGACGTCTAGGTGCTTGGTATGTAGGTACTTGGGTTAGAGTTGCATGTACTGAGGTACCTGGCATGATGACATGAGTAGCCCAAAAGTCTATCTTATAGTTACGCCTAACTTAGATCAATTTAATTAATATGGTTAAGTTGGCCTTATAAATCACTAATCAATGTGGTACCTAGTAAAGTTTTAGTGTAAACAATCCTATAATATACACAGGAATAGAGTTGGATAGGGGCCAATTGTTCCACCAACCAAACTTCACAATAGCACCTAGGAAAACAAAAATTACAAAGGGCGAAAAGAACAAATAGTCCAATCAGGGAGGACAAACGCGACAAAAAAGGAGCAGCGGATGAGCTCCAACCCCAACTACTTTTATGGATGGATTCGGACCGCTATGGGAAAACAAAGTAATAATAGCAGCGGTGGTGGTGGTCCGACTGCGGGCTCAGGTCATGAGAGAAGGAGCTGAATGAGGAAGTCGAGGAGATTGCCTGATTGTGGAGTGTTGGATGAGGAGAAATGTTTTAGGGAAAATTGGAGGGACATAATGGAGAAAATAGATTGAAGAGACAGCGATGAAAGAGGGAACCAGAGATGGGTGGCGGAACCAGAAAGGGTTGGAGAAAGAAGCGAAAGAGAGCTTGTAGGGTGTTTAATGATGGCCGATTTTTAATTTTTCAAAATGACAGACGTGCCCTCCCTTTATAACTCTGCAATTAATTGTAATCAACCCTTAAAATAAAAAAATATTTAAAACAAAATGTTTATCTAATTGAAGTTAGTGTTAACACTTATCGTTAACATCCTAATTAGACCTGGCAATCAGGTCGGGTTGGGTAATTTCGGGTTGTGAACTTCGGTTACGGGTCGGGTCATGTTTGGTTGGATGATTTCGGGTCAAATATTGACCCAATTCATTCGGTTTCGGGTCAGGTTACTGGTAATTTCGGGTTATGAGCGTTCTCAGAAACAATATCAAACATGCTTCATATTTTTCTTTAAGAACACAAATTTTTACATATGCATGACAATAGTTTACCTAACACATGTTAATTAACATATTCTCAACCCGACCCAAAAAATCACGGATTATCAGGTTCGGATCATTCGAATTTCGAATTACAAAACTTTATAATTTTCGGGCGGTTTCGAGTCGGGTCAACGGATCAGGTTGTACATGTCTAATCCTAATCATTCCTCGTGAAGTAGAACGGAGGATATAGTCGAGTGGGCCTAGTTCATGGATACGTGGTCCGGTATTGGCTTAGTCTAAGGCTCTAAGCCCAGCGTTCTTTTTTCAAATAGCGAGTTTTTTGACAATCCAAATCCGAAAAGGCAAACGAGCCACTGAGCCACAGTGCCTTGGCTCCCAAAGATCTCTGAATTCTGAAGATCTACTCTTTCCGAACCAAACCGGGGACTCGAAAGCAGCGGTTTACTTTCAGCTCTCCAATGGCAGATTCCGCCCTCCTCCCGCCCACCGCCTTATAGCGCATCACATAGTCGACACCATCGCTCCTATTTTCTTCAGAGTTAGTCGCACGATGTGGCTTCCTCTCCGATTGACTCTTCTGTTGCTCTTTCTACTACTTTCGCCTCGGGCGCTCCTCCGCTCTGGATCGGCGGCAGTGGTAAGTGGAGAGGAAGAAGAGTTCCATGAAGAGCTGCTGCTGAAGCCTTTGCCTGATCGGAAAGTCTTGGCCCATTTCCATTTCCATAGCATAGCTCCTCCTTCCAAATCCAATGGCCGCCACCATCATCTCTTCCCCAAAGCCATCTCTCAGCTGGTATTACTTTGTTCATTACTTTCTCCGGCTTCATTTATCGTTTCATTTTGGTTTGTTAGTTGTGGATTCAAAAGGAAGGGTATGGGTATCCTGCTTTCATTTTAGGTGCTCTTCCCTAGCTCTGTACCTTTTGCCATGTGGTCCGATTTGGATTTGATTCTGAATTTTCTGTTTCGATTGTTGAACAATTGTTTCAGCTCTTCAAGGAAATACGACGTTTTCTTAATTGTTTTTGCTCTTATTGGGGTTATTGTGGGAGAATTCTGTAATTGCTCTGCTTCTAGAGTGCCTCCTTTTCTTGAGTAGAATAGAAGGTCGAAATGGGTCTTCTATTTTGTGCCCAATGGCGATGATATGAATTGGCTCATCTCCTTCTTTTGTGTGCATGTTTTGAATTCTTATATTTCGCATAACTCGAGAAAACAGTATCATTTGGACAGGTCCAGAAGTTCAGAGTTAAAGAAATGGAACTATCTTTCACACAAGGTCGTTGGAACTATGAACGTTGGGGTGGATTCGATCCCATATCTAGTAACAACGCTAAGCCTCCTGGAGTTGAATTATGGGCTGTCTTTGATGTCCCCGAAGACCAAGTTGATGCTTACTGGAAGAATTTGACCAATTCTCTGTCTGGACTTTTTTGTGCTTCCATTAATTTCCTGGAGTCCTCCACCATGTATTCAGCACCTAAATGGAGCTTCCGAATTACACCAGGAAGGCTCAGATATGGTACATTACCGCGCGAGGCTGTTTGCACTGAGAATCTGACTCCATGGTTGAAGCTCCTCCCATGTCGGGATAAAGCTGGGCTCGCTGCCTTGTTGGATAGACCATCCATCTACAAGGGTTTTTATCACTCTCAGCGGTTGTATTTAACCTCAAATGCATCTGTTCCTGCGGAGACCGTTTCAGGTATCTCTCTGGAACAAACACTTACTGTCGTTCTTCAGCCCAACAGTCCTTCGTCTAGCTCCATTCACTCCGGTGAGAGCAATTTTCAACCGAGTTGGTCTTTAAGTTCGATCTTTGGAAGGAAGATTAGTGGGAAATGTGTTCTTGCTCAATCTAGTATAGTGTACCTTCAGCTTGAGAAAAGTATATTTTCGGAACAGAAGGATAACATGGACAATGGTCCAAATAGTTTAGCATCTGAAGGATTTGCTGGTGGAAGTGGTTTTGAAATGTCTCTAGACCCAGACATAGTAATTGAAGAAGAAAATCAGTCGCAACACAAAGGGTCATCAGTTCTCTATGGATTTTGGGTTGAAAAGTATAATGAGTCTCAGCCATTCGACCTTGGCTTGAAGTGGAAGTATCCTGTGTTTTGGTCAAGTCGACAAGCACCATTACATGCTAGCAGGTTTCTGATGGGCAGTGGAAACGAAAGAGGTGCCATAGCAATCTTATTCAAGTCTGCAAACTCGGCTGATAGTTCCTCTGGGTCTCGCCATGTCAGTGATGGGTGTGAGCTTCAAGTTGATGTTTTCCAAGTTGTGCCGTGGTACATTAAAGTGTATTACCATTCCCTTCAAATCTTTGTGGATGATGAAGCAAAACCAATAGGAGATTTCGTTCATAAGATACAAGTTTCCCCTTCCAAAGACAAAACATCTCCTGGAATGATGGAAATGCTCCTCAAGCTTCCTTGTGATGTGAGATCAGCTGCATTGACATTGGAATTTGATAAGGTATAATACAATTAAGTTTAGTTTATTCTGCATTAACATTTATCTCATCAGTTGTGGTCGAGTCATTCATCTCTATACATTGGAACCTGCTGATAACAGTGCTGTAATGTGTGAGCAGGGCTTTTTGCACATTGATGAATATCCTCCAGATGCTAATCAAGGATATGATATCCCATCAGCAGTTATAAGCTTTCCTAGCTTCCACTCAGTCATGCATCTTCTTAGCAACGATTCAATCAGGAAGTCGCCTCTGCTGTCCAGATTTCAGGTAGCGTTATAAGAACATCTTTGCTGCTTCAAAATCTTTCATTCCATTCGGATTGACTTACAGTTTGCTAACCTTCACGATGCACAGGAAAAGAACCGCGTGCAGTCATACACTGAAGTATTGCTTGTACCTTTGACGACTCCAGATTTCAGCATGCCTTACAATGTCATTACCATCACATGCACCGTATTCGCGCTCTTCTTCGGGTCTCTACTCAACGTACTCCGGCGCAGAGTCGGCGAGGAGGAGAGATATCTTAAAGGTAAGCACTGTTTGCTTGTTGTTCGTGAAATCGATGAATGGATTTTCATCGACCTTTAACTCTTCCATACTTTTGCAGCTGGTAAGAAAAAGGGTTGGCTCCGAGTGCTGCTGTCGAGATTATTAGCTAAGCTCAGAGGGAAGCCAATGGAAGAACCTGATCAACCCTCATCTGAATCAGCACCCTTAATCGGGAAGAAACTAGTCCTGAAAGTTATCTTGGTGGCTGTCCTTGCCGTGGCTTGGCAATTCTACTCTACCTGATTTGGACTGATTGAATTCCTAAATTAGTCTGCAGATAGGCGTCTCCAGAATTAGAATGCATGGGGGGAAGAAATCACTTTATCTATTATCGTGTTAGTGTACTGTAATGTAGGATTGTAAGACAGTTTTGTATCATGCCGCTTGCTTAGAGACATTGATTACAGATGGAAGTTTCGAAAGCTGATTTGTCTTTCGTTCCCGCACGATTCAGAATCAACAAAATTGAAGATATATACAGGTACAATTTCAAGTCTGTCTGTCATATATCTTTCTACATCCCAGTGTTTCGGTAGATCGATAGAGGATGATGATGATGAACATCAACTGGAAACAGAGCTGTGTTCAGTGAATCCTTTTGCAAGGCGAAGCAAGAAGAAGTACATCATCTTCGCTCTTCCGTTTCAGGTATCTGCATTTCGACTGACCGCTGGAAGTAATGCCGGCAGCTGCCATAACCACCTTGTTCTTCCTTGGTGCGGTGTCTGCAAAAACAGAAATGTGAGATAACCTTTCAACGTGTTCGACAAAGAAACTGGAACAAATTGCAGGTTCCACGTTATGTGATCTCTCTACCTGAAGGAGGACTGCTCTCATTGATTTTCAATTTCTTCATCGAGTCGATATCTTCCATGGTCACCTGCTTCCTCTTCAGTGCATGCCCGTTCCATGTAATCCCTTGCCCGCCTGCAACAAACACCAGGTTAACCTCTGCTCAATCTGTCAACACCATCTTAACCAGTTACAAGTTTGCCGGTTTCTACCTGTACGATCGCTTCCCTTCAACTTCTTATGTTTGGTGGCGTCTTCAGTTTGCGCCGTTCCAGCAATGCCGCCATCGTCAAGTTCAGCATCTTGCTTTCCTCCTGTAAGGAAGGCCAAACTTAAAATGGATTGAAATTGAACATAACAGAAAAGCAACCTGAACGGAGGAGAAGCTTACTTTTGCTCCCAACTTTACACAGCTTCCCGGCGACGATCAGCGCATCTTGATCGGTTTCCCCGGTGGGGAGACCCTTGCCGGAGAAGTAATTCAGCAGCGACTTCCACGTCACTGAGGACATCAGATTAGCTCCCCTGCCGATCAGGTGACCGTTGAGCTTCAACGCCGATGGCTCCAGCCCTAAAGCCCTTGCTATGGAGCCGAGGTCCAGCCTCTGCTCCTCCCACACCTCGTACGGTACTATCTTGGACAGCGCAGGGCACAGAAGCTTCACTGTTCTCGACTTGCAGTTGCGCATTTCCGCCGCCGCCGCCGCCATTGATTCGCCTTCTCTTGTTCTTTCTGACCTTGGAGTCTGTTTCTGGTTGTTTACGACTTACCACTCCATGGATTGGGAGGGAAGAAGAATTAGTTTCTCTTTCTTGTTCTCTCTCTCTCTCTCTTCCCGTTTGGTTCTTGGTTTCTTTGCTCCAAGTTTCTAATAGCTTCTCGAAGTGTCTGAACTGCAGACTGGAGAGTGGAAAGGGGGATGACGATTGACGAACAATGGCGCGGGCGTTGCATTATTGTCTTGGTCGAGCTTTTGATGGGTTTGTTCGGGTTCAGCCTATTGGATTCGGTGCAGGCCCATGAGCTCTTTCTGGGCTTGGAGACTATTTCCTTCCGGTCGACTGGAGGCAAGTATCCGAAAAGCATGGTAAAGGAAACCGTACCGGACATCATACCGGATTCCTTTCTGGTATGGTATTTTGTGGTACGACCGTGGTTCAACCGTTTTGTACCGGTAAATACCGTTTTTGTAATAATAAAATATATTTTTTGTCAAAAAACCGTGTCGGCAAAATCAGAGTACCGTTCCGGAGTAAAACCGGAATAATATCGAATATACCGGATATAAAATAATAAAGTATCCAAAAGAGGAACATACTGTAACAATCAACAAAGTGTAACATACTGAATAAACTACATTATCGTTCAAAAAAGCCATATTTCTGCCTTCACCAAATATTGCCACCAAAAAGAGGAACAGATTAGAGAGATGTAATTCATCTCATTCAGGACCAACCAAAAACCAAATAGAGCATTATACAACCACGGAGACCCATTTTCAACATAGAGCAATAGTCATTCCTTACCTAATTAATCAGACTAGTTAATTGGCCCGCGCTTTGCTCGGGAAATTTTTTGGAATAAATTTTATAGTAAATATCAAAATCTCATTAATTAATGAGGTAAGCATAATTTTTTTTAGCTAACTTGGAAAGGAGGTACAAAGTTCTATGGCATCAACACAAACTAAATTCATTCATCATTTCTTGTAAAAAAAAAATTCATTCATCATTTCATCCAAAAAAAAAATATCGATGGTGCTTATGTCAAGATGAGAAAAATTAAAAGAATAATTTGAATATTGAGTAACAAAAAGCAAGTTCACTTAGTTAGTAGGTAGTATGCACAATTTTTTTTGGTTATACACGTGGCATCTTAGTTACATGCAAGAAATACACCTCAACCTCTTGACTTCCCTTGTATTTCTTGACTCCAGCTCATTTGCCTGCTCTCTATCAGTCTAATAACCCCACCTACCCGCTCTTGCATTACATACCCAGAAGAAGAATAAGGTGAACGGAGCAGAGGGAATAAACCTCTCGCCACTTCCAGCCAAAATTCCGAGTATTCCCCTTTCACTTAGCTATTAGTCTCGGTCAAATGATCAACGGAAGCTATTTCAAAAATCGATATTCACAAAGATCAGTTCTAGTTTTTTCTTCTTTGCATGTGTAATTTTGGGCATCAGAGAAGGGTTTCAAGCCCAATTGCAGAGCTAAGTGAATATCGATTTTCTGCCATCTCTGTTTTTGAAAACTTGTCAATCTTATTCTTTGCTGTCCCCTTAAGTATACTCGCGGCATTATTATACTAATAATTAATTGACTATCGCTGGCTTTGGGAGACTCGAGCACGGTCGGAGCGGCTGAGGAGGAGAGGAAGGAGCGGCGGAGCGGAGCAGGGACGACTCGACTCGCCGGTCGTGGATCGCCAAATAAGAAGAGAAGAGGAACGGCGGAGGAGCGGAGCGGGGATCGGCTCGACCTTTCGCCGTCGCGGGTTGCTTCTTTCCTCGGGCCGATGCGCGGGCCGCCAGTCACCAGAGGGAGTGGAGAAGAGGAGCGGCGGGGATGGGGAACACGAGAAGAAGGAAAATACATTTTGGATTAGGTTTTGTGTTTTTGCGCTGTTGAATGCCGAATTTTTTTTAAAAAAATTTTATTGCTTAAAACGGGGACGTATTCTTTCAATAAGGCTACCGCCGGTTAAACCAAAACCGGGCGGTTTTTCTTTTTGTACCGGTCAAACCGAAAAAACCGGTCGGTACGGTAAAATCAGCACAATCAGCCTACCGTGCCGCTTTTGGTCCAATTTCCGGTTGAACCGGTTGAACCGGCCGGTACGATCCGGTTTCCTGGTCTATGCCGAAAAGTAGAAAAAATCCAAAACTACCACTCATTCCCAAAAATTTCCAAATCTATAACCATCCACCATAAATTGCGCCTTCAAGACGCGGTTCTCATTTAACCCGAGCGGGCAAGGGGCGGTTTGCCATTGGGCAGCTAACAAAACGCGTCTCCACATGGCGATCCATGCAACCGCACGATGAGAAGGCGATCTAGCGGCCTAACCGCCTGCCAGCGGAGCGATCCGCGTCGCCCACGGGAAATCGTTGCGCTGAAGCGCGGTTTGCACGTTGGGAAACGTAAACCGTGTGCTGGAGGCGAGGTTTTTGGTGGGGTAAAAAAACCAAACAGCCCCTCCAGCACGCGGTTCCTTCCCTATATAAACCCACCTCTTCCTCTCATTTTCTGCACACCAAACCTCCAATCTCCTCTCTCTCTAAGTTTCTCACTCTACCCATCCCCCTCCACACCCAAAAACTTTGGAAGTAGTTGTTTTGTTGGTTGTGGCTAAGTCCGATCTTCTTTCAAAAAACTTTTCTTTGGTTTTCACTAAAATAACGTTGAATCTCTGTCCGCATCCTTAAAAAATGGTCGATTTTATCCAAGAAGAGGGTATTTACTATGATGATTATCAAGCGGTACGTACTCATTTTACCCAATTTTTGTTGTTGTTATAATGGTTTATTTAATTTATATACTAATTGATTTATGTTGTTGTTATGCTATCGTAGGTTGGGCCGGATGTTGATATATACAATCAACGATATTATGTTGATCAAGGACCGATTGATCCGACTATTTTATACGGTCAATACAATCATCTTTCAAGAGACGTTTGGAACGCCCACAAGGTACATATTATTTATCATCACTTGTAATTTTTATTTTGTTAACATAATTTATTTGTTTGTACAATAAATTACTTAATTGTTAATCGTATTGATTATTTTCAATAATTTAAATCAATACAATACAACACTTATTTAGACTCTTTATAAAGAAATGCATGTCTAAGGAAATGGGGTCTTAAGCGATCATCATGATCCTCCCATGATCTGGGAAAATCGGGTTCTAAAAGATCCTCGGATCCCCCCTTTTTCTGTCAAACAGACTGTGTTTCTAAGGAGTATACCTCTCCTAAGAGTCTTACGAGTGTACTTGTATTGCTTTAAATTATTGAAAACAATCAATACGAAGTACAAAATAATATATTTGATTTTAGGGTAAATACAAGGCAATATACACTTGTATAACTAAAACTTTCGCGTTTGTGACAATAATAACCAATTTTAGAGAAATACCACTTATAGCCAGATTTTATAGTTATTGTAGGTCAAATCTAGCCATTTTCATTAATACTTTAATGGTGTTAGTAACACCGTCAATTTTTTTGACGGTTTGCTGACTAAGCTCCAACTCAGCGCACACATGTCAGCGCCGAATAAGTCAAAAGTGACATGTCATAATAAAAAAATTATTTGAACTTTTTCCTAATTAATTTTTTGATGAGATTGTCATCCCATTCTCTCTCTTCACTTTCTCCTCCACCGCACGCACCTCTCTTCTTCCTCCTTTCCCTCTCCTCTCCCAACCATCTCTCCCCCAGCAGTAATTCTTTCATAGTAAAAAATTTGCAAACGACCCCTAAATAACGAGAAATATGAAAATTTTTCACCCAGTTTTTTTTTTTAAATCCAATAGATGATTAAATTGTTCCTTCTGTGCGAAAATCTTCGAAAACGACTAAAAAACGAAGGAGATATCATATGATATGGAGTTGGTAACGAGAGATATGAATTATATTTTTCTCAAAAAATATTGAAAATGAATCTCATTTTGTAAAGCACAACGAACTTGTTCCATCTGTTAAAAAAAATTAAATCCAAATAAAAAAAAATGATCCGATTAAAAAAAAAGAAAAATAAAATATATTTAATTTACCACCTTTAAATCTATGATCACTTAAAAATAAGAATTCAAATTTTGCTACACATAATTAATTGCTCTAAGCTCCATTAAGCCCCTCTCCTTCGCAAGGCCGAGATTCTGAAGCTCAACGCGACTGACCCAAAAAGGGAAAACTAAAAACAGCGGTTTTGTTCTTGGAGGGGAGAGCTCGAATTTCGAAACCAAATTCATTTTTCGCGAAGGCTTAGGGTTTCGGCGCATCCTCTCGCTCAGAGCAATTCCGGATTCCGCTCCATCTCCGGTCTTGTAGTTCCCATCACCTCTCATACTAGCTGTTCGCGGTTGCCGTTAGGGTTAGGGTTTAAGTATTTCGTTACAATGTATGCTGATCGAGTGGAAGCTTCGGAGAAGATGTCTGTGAAGGAGCGTCTCAATGGCAATTCCGTCGGTGACTCTTCCCGCCGGAGACAAGTAACTGGCAAAAGGTGTGTGGCCTCCTCTCCTCTCTGCGTAGGACCCTTGTCTCGTCTGTTTCTTCAGCTAGGCGCCTGCTAGTGGAAGAGCTTACAGTTCGCTTACGCGAAGTCTGAAGAGAATGCTCGTTTTCCCCTTAATTTGTTGATGCTCCTCTTTTCCCATGGGTCCTTTTGCTGCAAAATTCCGTATTTACACGGTTTACCTGCAAAGTGGCTTCTAGTCAGTGGCATTTTTAGGATTTACTTTTATCTGAATGCAAGGTGATGTTTGATTGAGTCTGCTTGTTTGCCTGCTATATGTTGAACATGCTTCGGTTAGTACCCATTAGGCTTAAGCATTCACCGAGTATCCCCAGTGATATGTCTATGTCCATCTCACTTTTCTGATGCCCGTAATGCAAACCAGAACTCTGGATTTAGAACTGTTTGGATGTGGGAACATGCGTGTTAGGTTTTTGATTTGGACTAGCTTTTGATAAGAGAATGCTTGTAATGCCACCATTCGCTGAATATGAATTAATTTTTGAAAAAAAAAAGACTTGTTAGTTTAGGCATCTATTATGCGATGATTCATCTAGGTTACCCACCACAATGGTTAGGTTTAAGAGGCGGGTGACTGCAGACCCAAAGAGGGCGAGGGCATAAGCATCTCTTCTAGTCTCTTGTCTCGCATCCTGTATGATATTTCTGAGATTCATATCCTCAACTTCTGAGAGAGCCACTAATTCTTTATATTCCCTCTTCTGTTGGTCAAACCCTTACTCATAACTTGCTCAGAGTAAAGTCACTACACTGAATTTCTAATGATTGCACATCAGGAACTTTGATTGCATTTGCTCTCTGCATTGTGGATGAGTCTGATATTTGCATGAAGGGTCTGACTTGCATGGGTATGATTTCTTCTTGTTTGAGTTCCTTGGTCCATCAATATCTTTCTTTTAGTTTTGACAAACCTTCTTGCCTAATTTCTTGTTGATGCTTATCTTGCCCAATCTGTGAAGGCTAATTGCATATACTGAACTTAGGCCATGATTCATGCAGGCAAAGGCAAGATGACAAGTGGGAACATGACCTCTTTGATAATGACGAACCACGCACTTCGAGTATGTCACTGTGATTCTGACCTATGTAACTACATCATTCTTCTGCCACAGATATTAGTAACATATCTGGTTGTCCTACTCTGATAATAATTTGTGAAGATCACAGAATAGATGCACGGGATCTTCGACTAAAGCTCCAAAAGAAAAGCCAAGCACCTCAAACTGGAAGAGGAGGCATTCGGGATTTGAGAGAGAAACTGTCTGGGATAATGAATCCACAACTGGTGAATTCTGATCCACCAAAACCAAAACAAGCGGCTACTAAACCAGCTAGGAGAGGTGTTGCTGCTGAAGTTCCTGAACTTGAGATTAAGAAAGTTGCCAGTGTTGCTACCAAAAAGAAGTCTCAGCAAAAGGCATTTTCAACTTCTGTCTTCTAACTGTCTCATTCTTCCATGTCTCAGCATAGACCACTTTTGGGTCTGCAAAGTTCTCTAATAAGGCCAAACTGTAGTGTCAGATTTGCTTTGTTGTTATGATATGTTAGGATAAACTAACTTCCAAAGGCTCCTCATAACCATTAGTTCATAACTACATGCTTCACACCATGAACAGTAACATGTGCAGTTTTTTTATTGGCCCTTCCTAACTTAAACTATTGATTGCAGAAAGATACATCAGTGGACAGCTTTTTGGAGTCATTGGGTCTTGAAAAATACCAAATCACTTTTCAGGCCGAGGAAGTATGATTAAACTTTGCTTCCTTTGTTCCTAGGTCCATGAATCTCTTGCCTTTATGCTTCTGTATCTCATTAACATGCTTGATCATCTACAGGTTGACATGACCGCTCTTGTACACATGAATGACGATGATCTTAAGGCTTTGGGCATTCCAATGGTATGCTCAAGCTATGGCTTCAACATGCTTTTGAATTCTGCATGGGGTGTTGTTACTATTTGATAGTAATCTTCAGTGTTTTTCTGGGATCAAGAATAGACTGACCTTGCTTTTCTTTTATAAGTCGTCAGCCTGTATAAATTACAACTAGCCCTTCTAGGAGTTAGAAAATGGGGGGGGGGGGGGGGGGGGGGGGGGGGGTCCTTACTCTAAATCAGGATGTCTAGTATTTGAAGAAAGTCTAGAGGGATGGTATCATGATACTCATTATATTACAGAACTGTATTTGCAAGTTGTGGCTACTACTATCAACAATGCGGCATATGTTTTTGTTTCTTCATTTCCAATGCGTGAAAGGTGTTTAGTAACGACAGTTTTTGTTTCAAGTCTCAGAACTCCCCAATTTCCTCTTAGTTTACTTCTTGTTTGTGCTTGACCAAACAAAACTTCCTCGTTATCTTTTGTTGAGATTGATCAATTGCACTAACAAGCAATTCCATGACAAAGAAGATTACATCTCGTGGTTAGCTTGTTCGTGTTTGTAAATGACACAGTAATCGCAGTCCTTAAGCAGGCAGGAGGTTTGAGAAGGCTGATGCCTTTCTGGTTTGATTTGTTGTTTTCAGGGTCCAAGAAAGAAAATACTTCTGGCATTGGAATCAAGAGGCTGAGGCATTTTCAGGAGTGGGAATGTGTTATCTGCATGCTTTAGATTATGGGTTTGAGGGTGGTGGTCTTTTGACACACCCAAACAACACATGGTAAAAGCTGGCTTTTGGTTTTCTACCTGAGCTTGTGTAACATTTTGTATGGAACTTGTTAGTGGAAAATTACTTTAACGGAGGGGTTTAGGAGTAAAAGTTGTATGGATGCGAGACCTGGGCCAGTGAGAGGGTATAAATTGACATTTGGATGGAGAATTTGATTGAGGGATTTGGGCTTATGAACACTCATCTAAAAATTCATATATTTTATTTGGGTTTTTTTAAAGAAATAGCACTATTTAAAAAAATTTACAAAAATAGTACCCATCCCACACAAATTCCAAAACTAGCACTTTTTTTCAAAATCGCGCCTCGGCTGTGCGGTTTACCTAGAAACCGCATCCTGAGGAAGCGGTCCTCGCTAGAGCATCTCGAGAACTGCACTCTGACGATGCGATCATAATGCACGACGCAGCGGTCCCCAGAACTGTTGGATTAGGCGACGATCTATCGGCCAACCGCACGCTAGCGCAGCGATCCGCGTCAGGGATTGAAGACCGCGCGCTTGTGGAACGGTTTGCGCCTCGGGCTCCGTGAACCGCTCCCTCCAGATGCGGTTTTGGTAATGGTATAATTACTAAACCGCCCCTGGAGGGTAGATTTATAATAAAATTATGGTCAAATTTAAATAATTTATTTTAATTAATTTAGTTATAAGAAAAACATTTACTAGTATATCATAAATAATGTTAAAATTGTCGCTATGAGGCGAACCAAATAATCCGCTACAGGGGTACGACCAATGTGCTCACATGGTTCTGCTAGGTCAGCCTAATAACCGCATGGTCAAGATGCGGTTATATTAGGTCAGTCTAATAACCGCTCCACCAAGCTACGGTTTTGGCCCAGAAATTCAAACCGCCTCCTCAGGGTGCGGTTTACATGTACACCGCACGACCAAGTTGCGATTTTGAATAAAAGATATTATTTTTGGGATTTGCGTGGGCTGGTTGCTATTTTTGGAATTTTTTTTAAATATTGCTATTATTGGGAAAATCCCATCAAACTCAGTTGAGTTCTTTCTAGGCTTGCTGTAATATCAGCATCATCAAACTCAAAGATATGATCAATTTTCTATTGGATTCATTTTCACAATATAACTCAAAACCCGACATAACCACACGAACACTTGGTGGAAAATTTCTCTCACAAAATCGATAAGGATATTAGGTTTGAAACTTGAAAGTATTGTGGCGACTGGCGAGCCAGAGTATCCCCTAGGGCTTTAAAACCCATCGAGATTTCTTCCATTCCCCCGTATCTCCTTTCTATTTTAGCAAATCAATATTCAGTTGGGCAATCGCAACAAATCAATATTCAGTTGTTCTCAATCCATTTTTATCCAAATTTAATTGGATTGGTAGAAATCGTATCAGGGTTGTACCGGAAAATTCAGTGATAATTTATTTTGTACCGAAACCATTGGTTAAATTGGGTGGCAACCGTTTCATGTCGTTAAAACGAGCATCGTCCTTCAACGAAACAAGTTGATTGTTAGATACAAGAAAAATGTTGATAATGAGAAGTTATAATCGTATTTGAGTTGTACTGGGTCTCAACAGTTTCATACGATTATAATGAGCATTGTCTTTGAGATTTGAACCTGGGAGCTATAGGCTGAAAAACTGTGAAACAACCACTCGGCCACGGCTTAGTTCGCAAGGGCTAGTTTAAAATAGGTGATTAAGTAACAAACTTTTTTGAGTTCCATATATGAAAAAGTTTAATGAACCAAACGTGTCTAGTAAGTAAAAGAGAACTGTTCAACAAAAAAAAAAAACCAAAGTAAAAGAGAAGAAGAGAAATGATCGATCTAGCCAGCGAGAAAATGCTCCAACAGAAGCCGACAAACAAAACAACACACTACCCAGTGCTCTGACACAGACAAAACAACCAAACACAGCGCGCTCTCTCCCTTTTTCCTTTCAACGGGACGGAGGAGTTGATCCGGTCAAGCCGCCATTAACAGTTCCCCCGTCGCCGTTAACCCCGTCAGGAAAACGGAGAAACAGGCCATCCGCGATTCGTTGACCTGACCGTCTCCTCTCCTGTTTATGAAAGTCAACTGTGAGAAAATGGGAGTATAGATAGAGAAACACCATGAGATGACGTGCTTGGTGGAAGAAATGGAAACGTCGCTGGCTCTGTGCGATGGGTGAAATTGGACATGGTGGTTGGAGAAGGACGGCTCGAGCCGGAGGAGAACTTCAAAGGTCTCGCCTTTTTCACTTGATTACCTTTTGGGTTTAATCTAATTATTATTCGTAGTTTTTTACAGAGAGAAGGAGACTTAGAATTCGGGGAGGAGAAAGAAAGAAACCAAAGAATCGTCAAACTAAACCGGTGGCTCCATCCAGTCAATGGTTGATAAACCTCGCTCCCTGCCTCTCTCTCTCTCCCCCTTTCTTCTTGTAAACCAGCCTTCTGCTTTTTCTCCTGGGTTAGACGCCCTCTCTCTAGCTTCTTCTCTATCTAGAAAAGTCTTCCTTTTTTTCTTCTATTCCATCTTGCAGAGTGGGTCGTACGAGGGTTGCTTTTTGGGGAGATCTCTTGAGGTTGTAATTGCCGTAAGAGGAGGAACAAGAAGAGGTTAAATTTTGTTGAAGGGTTCAGCTCTGGGATTTCTGGGCTCTGCTCCAACCTTGCTGGAAACAGAACTGGAAAGAGGAAATGGCAGTAAGTTCTGCGCTTGCCCTCATCTTTTCCTTTTCTTTTCCCTAGCTGTCTCTTGGGGAAGATATCAGCCTTTTCCAAGTTGAAAGATGATGATTCTATCCAGGTTGTAGCTGTATATAGAATAATCAGTGCGGTTTGTATGTTGCTGTGGTGTTGTTGATTGGCAATGCTCCGGTTATCATGTTTATGTTGTTGGAGAAGGTGTAACTGTTTACTCCTGATTGGATATGTAAGTGAATGACGAATTGGTTTGGATTAGAGAGCTATGGGTACTCAAGTTTAAGGAAAGCGATTATGGGTGTTTCTAAGTTTGTGTAGATTGAACATGTAACCTGTGATTTTGGATGAATGAGGCCGATCATAGGAAGAGTTGGTTTTTAATCTGATGTTTGACTTTGGAAATTAGAGGTTGGATTAATAAAATGGAAGCTGGAGTTTAGATAATTATATCACAGCTTTGATGGTATGCAATGATCTTGAATTGAGCAGCCAAAAGTAGTTTTGTGTGCATCTAAGCTATGACATTTGTGAAGACGTTAAGGAAACGTGATGCATTCTTATGTTTGGCTGTTGTTAATCATGAACCAGATAGGCTTACAGCTTATGCATAATGCTTTTCTAGCAATTATTTGGCGCGATCCTATGAGAGATGAAATACGTGTTGATTGCCATGATGACACCAATGTCTCAATTCAGTAGTTAAAGTAGAAATAGAACATCGGATTGGTGCGGCCAATGATGTGTTGAGGTTGATTCTGCGTATTTGAGATGATTGATGTTTTAGTCATGATGAGCAACATCGTGAGTTTGATTTTTTAGTCATGATGAGCAACATCGTGAGTTTGATTTTTTAGTCATGATGTTCAGTTATGTGTGTATGTTTTGGTTGATCCTTTCTGTGTCAATTTGAACGGTTGATGCCGAAGAAGCAGTGGGACAGTTGCACATTTCAGTTCTTATAATGTGGCTTATGGTAGTGAGGATCCTGGACGATACTATTGAAATTGTGCCCTGAAAAGTAATGGTAACAGCGGGCCTGACTTTTCCTGAGATGAACTATTGTTGGGCAATGAGAAGGTTTGGCAGTTGGTAAGATGGTAGGATGCTCTATTTTTTCTTCTTCTCAGGATTGCTGTTTACATTCTATCCTGTACTTGCTTGTGGGGAAAGCAATAGGTCAATTTGATTTCAGCAGGAGCATTAGTGTTGAACTTAGCTGATGCAGTACATTAGACTTACTCGGTGATCCAAGGTGCTGAACCATCACACCTCATTAATTTTTACCTTCCCCCATCCAGCAGAAAGCCTGTTGTGTCTCCCTACCCCGTCGGGAATGGGACTTGAAACCTTATCAAGTGAAAGATGTTGCTACGCGCTCAATGGTTTGATGTTAGTTTATCCTACCATGCTTATTTATGTGCCTGTTCTGCATTGGGCTCTGACATAGCTCATTCTGCTCCTAATTTGAATGACGTGAAACATTTTGTTCTCTCCTTTCTTTTATTTTTTATTAGATGCTGCGTTTTCTTTTCTTGTCAAAATGTGGGCAAGACATTAACTTTCTTGCAACTGCAGCAGCAACGTTCACATGTGCCCAAGTTTGGCAACTGGGAGAGTGAAGAGCAAGTCCCATACACTCAATATTTCGACAAGGCAAGGAAGGGCCGAACCGATGGGAAGATGATCAACCCAAATGATCCCATGGAGAACCCAGATTTGCTTCCTGCTTCTAAGGTTGTCAAAGTTGAACCAGTCAAACAGGGTGTTGGCTCTCCAGCACGCCCTGACAACGGGACCCGCAGAGCTGGGCAGGGAGGAGGCCGTGGAGGAGGAGCAGCAGCAGTAAGCCGCCCTGCAAGGAACAGTGCTGGGTCCGATAACAGCTTCGAACGTTCGCCACTCCATCCTCATGCTAGGATCTCAGGAGGCCGTGCCAGTGGGGCACCATCACCGGTCTGGGAAGGGAAGAGTTCCCATGAGAGCAGCCATGGTACACCTGGAAGGTCAAGATTGAGACCGAAAGGCGATGAGAGTGTAAAAGTTTCACCACCCCTCGTTTCCCATTTCATTTGAGAGCTTGTGTCGTTGTTTATTAACATGTATTCCTTGAATCAGCCTGACAAGGGTGCTGCTGTACCAAAGTTTGGGGACTGGGACGAGAACAACCCGGCATCAGCAGATGGATATACTCACATCTTCAACATGGTGAGGGAAGAGAGACAGGGTGGCGTGGCAGGTAGAGGACCTGGTGGCACCTATGGCGACTCGTCCCATGGGAATGCTCGGAAGCACAACTCGGGAGAAACCACCTTGGTAGTGATGACATTTTTATCCCAAAGCACATATCTTTCTATCTATGTTTGTTTGGATTATGGTTGTTAATGTTATTGAAAAAATGGGGTTTCTTTGCAGTGTCACTGCTTTCCCTGGGGAAGAAAGTGATGGTGGAGATTGTACTGATATTGGGAGGATCAGGAAACCAATCATTCAGAGAAAGAGGTGTGGGAGAACTGTAAATACCTTTGAAGGCTCTCTGTATTATCTGTTTCTTGTTCTGATGTTTTGATTTCATGGAGAGCAAGTTGATTCTCTCTTTGTATTTGTGGGTGGTTATATCTTGTGGTGGGAAAACAGACCAATACGCCATCGATTTTTGTGGGACTCTTGGCTCTATTTTACTTCGTTCTCTTTTGAATATAGAACAAGACGATTTCAATTCGAGCTATCATGGTTAATATATTGAATTGGGTAGGGTTACACATAGAATTCTTTCACTGTTAGGATTGTAAGAAAATATCTTCATTTTTTTTTTATCAATGCAGTCAAATTTATGATTATATGTAGAAATAAATTGATGATCAAGAAGTGTAAAAACGCAAGTTTTTAAACTTTAAAACATTGATTTTCACTAGACTTGTAATGGAAATGCAGGATTTAACTAAATTGTGTGCTATGTACTATTCCTGTAATGGCTATGTTTGGAGTTTGAAAATTTCTCTAGGGTTAATCCTAAAAATTAGCCAAACATTTTTCGCATTCTTTTTTATTAATCAAACCTATTGGACTACTAATAATTAGTCAAACGTTAACTCTCCGTTAATACCTCTATTAAATGATGGTGAGCAGACGGATGTGATGCTGAGTTGGCATATGCGAAAGAATAATTTTTTATTTCTTAATTTAAAATCAAAATTAATAACGTTAACAATGAAAAAGACAAATGAGTATATCATAAAATAGCTCGGAAACGGAAAAAAAACTCTCTCTCTCTCTAACTTTCCTTTTCTCTACCTTCTCTCTAAGTTAGAGTTCAGATTCAATCCTCCATGGGGCTGCCGTCGGCTTCCCTTTGGGACCGACGGTGGCCCTCCAACTCTTTTACCTTTCCTGCTTGTTTTTTTGCTTGGTTCCATTTTCTTTTTCAGTGCATGTTTCGTTTTTCCTTGTCCAGATCTCCATTTCGCCTTCATTGCCATCTTTGGGGTTTTCTTTCTGCAACTCCTTGTGAGATGGATGTCTCCTGTTCCAACCTCTACTTCTGATCCTCAGATTTAGATGTGCTTGGTTCTTTCGCTCGGTGGTCAAATGGGGCTATAGATCTTTGATCGGTAGCTTGTCTTCTCATCTTCTTACATTTCATCTACCTCTTTGCTTCACCCATTGAGTCGGTGTTTCAGAGATGCAAAGGTCTTCTCATATGCAGCGACCTGGATGCGGTTCTAAGATGTTGAAGGCAGGGATGCATCAGTCTGAAGCTCGTCTCTTTTCTCCAAGCCTGTTCGTTGCCGTTTTCGTGGTCCCGGGCTCTTCGCGGACTGCTGTTCTCCCGTTGTGGCGTTGGTTCGGTCGCTGCATGGTGAGCTGGGTGTCGACGATTGGTTTTCGGCGGCTCTGTTCGTATGGTTGGCGGCGGCAAGTTGGAGAAGAGATGTTAGCTAGGGTTGGTGTTGGTAGTTGTCTGTAGGGTTAATTGGGCTCACTTTGCGGGCTCTGGGTTTTGGGCTTCATTTTTTGTTTCTTTTTGAAACATTTGTTTGGGCTTTGTTTGTGGGCTTTTTTCCCCCTTTTGATTTCTGCTGTATCTTTCCATGGGTTTTACCCTAAACTTTGTACTCACTTTTGAAGTGCAATATATGCAGCTTCTTGTAAAAAAAAATACGATTTTTCTTCTTCTCCCACACCCATAGCCAGAGATCTAGAGTGTAGTGCAACCAACCATCGCACTTGCCAAACTCCACCTCATCTCCTCCTAAAAACTCCACCTTCTCCAAACTCCACCTCCACAACCAATCGCGATCCCATCATCACCTGCGAACCTTGATCTCCACCCTCACTTCCCAATTTCATGGTTGATTCCCTCTCCCACCTCGCCAAACTCATCGAATTCGACCATTCCCTCCGTCGTCAGCTTACCGAATCTGGCGTCGTATCCGGTGTCTTCTGCAACAGGCAAATATCCGGCGGGTTCTTTTGGTACTCATATGCTTTTTGAATAGAATAAAGAGATGAAGATGCGAAGGTTGGATTTTAGCGAAGCATGCCTGCTTGTTCGCAGAGGACTGTAGTTTCTTCTCAGTGACAGGACGCGAAGTAAAGGAGAGATAACTCCGCCCCGATCCAAATCTAATTGTTCGTAGAGGAGAGATAACTGTCGCCGACAACTTTTAATCTGGTGAGTAAATCCTCTCGTGACAAGTGACAACCGCTCAGGCGGTCGGGATTCAACGATGGCAAGCCCACAAAAGGAAAGAACTCCGGCTATGTTCTTGTATTGGTTTGTTTTGAACTGGTATTGGTGTTTATGAAGTGGTAGAGATGCACTCCTATGAATTTATCACTTGTTGCTACATCAGGAGAGAGACAGGGACTGATAGCAGCTCAGCACGGAGGGTCATCAGGTCGTTTGCGAGCTGGAATGGAGGCAAAGGGAGGTAGATGCACGTTGGAGCTGAAGGTTGAGGGAGGTCCTTTGTGAGCTAACGAAAGCTAGACTGAGACGAATGTCGCCCTCGCCGGATTGTTACTGTCGAAATCGAGTGTCGAATGCCAAGGCTGAGAAGAAGCATAACCGAGTGCTGACTGTGATAACACTGAATTTGCACATGTTTTTACCTTGATTGTTTAGTTTGGTGTTTATCATACTTTCGCCTATTTTACGCTAGGTTGTGTTCATTTTTCACATTTCAGGTCCTAGCACGTAAAGTGAAGCATAAGCGCAAGTTTCAAGTCTATCGAGATCAATTGACGACTCGGGGGAAGAAACTCGGGCATGACCTGAGGAAGAATGGATTTATACATCATTTTATGGACAAAGAATCATGTAAGCTTGTCATAATGAGAAAGAGGAGTAAGAGCGTATTGGATCAAACGACGACTAATTCGGAGTCCGGACGAGGGAGAAACGAGACATTCAAGATAGAAAAACAGGACCAATGATTTCCACGGGTTGGAAGCCAATTCCACGATCGTGGATTAAGAGTTCAGATGGTGGATTTTGAGCAGGAGAAATCCACAGTTTGGTGAACCTATTCCACGACCGTGGAACTCAAAGGGTGATCGTTGAACATGCCAGTAGCGAGTATAACGGCTCGTTTTATACGTTTTTGGAAGGAGAGAGCTGGGTTTTGGTTTTCAAACACCCAAGAGACGAACCCTAGAGAGAGAGAGAGAGCGACTTGGGATCATTCTTGGAGCTATTTTCGAGGATTTATTCGCCATTGGAGCTCGCAAATCAATCTTGGAGATGGAGATTGAAGATCTGGATAAGATTTATGCAGTCTCTCTCTCTCTTCTCTACAGAGTAACTTCCATTCTCTTAGGTTTTGAGGAACCCTAGCTCCATGTGTTAGGATTTTTCTTGTATAAACTTTTGAATGCTATACTTATTGGTTTTAATCGATTGAGGCATGATTTGTTGAGTCAATTGAATCCTGATCATATTCTCTTGATTTCTGCTTTCACCAATGATAGATAGAATCTGATTAGGTTAAGAGAGCTTCCTTGATTAATAGTAGTGAATTGATTGTGCGAGAGTCGGTCAATTCATTGCTTTGTACTGGAATTCGTTTCAAGTAGTTGAGAACAACGTGAATCGTCTTAGTAGTTTATCCCGGTGAAGGCTAGTCGCCTGTTGGATAATCTGTCAAAAATGGCTTGGTCAGCTTAAGAGATTCCAAACTATTTTTTGATCTTCCGCAATCTAATCTACAGTAAAACGAACAAAGAAAATTACAACTTGAACCTAATTGAGGAGCTAGTGGGAATCATACATGAGTGAGTTCCCAACATGTAATTAGTAGTTTAACCTTTGTTTAGTTAGTAGAGTAGTTTAGTAAATCAATCCTTAATCTGGTTTGCTAGATAATGAACTGAAGCCGAGTAATAGTAACTCTAGAGACCCGTGGATTTGATATTTATTACTTGTGTCACTATACTACAGTCCCTTTCATTGGTTACACTTGGCCATTGATAAGAGTTGTGTTTTAGCGAGTCACACTGCCAATGGACGAGGGCCTCAATCACGCAGAGGAGACGACTAGGTGACCAAGAGCAGCGTGGACAATTGCAAGGGAGAACATCGATGAGCTGAGCGGCTATGGGTTTTTGTAGAAGAAGACGACAACTAGTTTGAAGGGCATGGTCGATTATAATTAGTATTTTTGTCTTCACTAGCCTCCAAATTCGCACCGAAGAGAAAACCTCAATTTATCTAATAATTTAACTGCATTTTATCATATTATGGTTTCTTTCTTGGTCTTTTAATGAAAATAATGAATATTTTTTTTATGTTTTTCACATAAATTACATACCTATTGGACCGACCTGCCCCGACCCGCACCCTATAATAAATTATCCGACCTGGACCCGACCTGTCACGAAACGGATATGAGTATCGAGATACCCACCTCGAATTTGCCCATTGTCATTCCTAGATGGGTCTAGCGATTGACCCACCCATTGTCCATCCCTAGTAAATCTGTCTTGATAATTTTATTTCGGTTTTTATCAATTACCGCAGAACCAAGTTGCAAATCCACCTAGCCCCCATTGCACATTTGCACAATTTTCATTTCCTCGATCACATCGACCAAATCTGGCCCCTCGAATACCACGCGCGTGTCGTCCCACCACGCGCCGCTCCAGTCCACCGTTGAGACCATAAATGAAGCGGAGCGGGGAGGAAAAAAAGGGCGCTGATTTCTGGTATACAGAAAACGGCCTCCAATTTTTCTCCCTTTTTTTTTTCTTCTTCTTCTGCTTCCTCCTTTCCCTCTCGTCCTCTCTCCACCGGAAAAGCCGAAAACTAATTAGACGAAGATGTCGATGGAGCTTTCTGCCTGCAATGTAACGGACAGAATCCACGCCCTTCTTCCCCAATGCAGATTCCTCGCCCCATACTCCCGCCCTTTCCCTCCCCGTCGCACCCTTGTTTTCTCCTCCTCCTCCTCCTCCGCCGTATGCAAAGCATCGGTTCAGTCGGTTGACGGCGGGGTTGTGTCGGCAATTGAATCTGGGTCGGCGACGGCGAGAGGAAGCTTCGCGGATACGCTGAGGCTGGGGAGCTTGACGGAGGATGGGTTGTCGTATAAGGAGAAGTTCATAGTGAGGTGCTATGAAGTTGGGATTAACAAGACAGCCACTGTTGAGACTATTGCTAATCTCTTACAGGTACTTCTTTTCGTTGAAGAGAGAATTTGCATTTTAGCAGAGGAAGCCTATGGTATATCTGTTCTGTTGTTCAATTCACGGTTTCGTTTGATTTTATCGGAAGGAAATTTTGGGATAAATTTTTGTTTTCTGATGCTACATGTTTATACTGTGTTCCTCTGTGAATTCTGAAATTTCATGCTTTTTCGGTTAGCTGGAATTTGAATCGTTTCCCTTGTTATCACCGGTTGCGATGTGGGTTCTCTTTTTTCAGTTTGAGTGCTTAATTGTTTCTCTGGCTATCTGTGATGTGTCTTTTGAAACTGCAAATTGCTACTGGGATTAGAAATGCCTGTCAGATTCAGATTGCGTTGCATATTAGCGCCATCGTCACATTGTATATTCACTTATTCAGTCATAGCAATCAACTGCAAAAGCATAGGACCATAACCCAGCTCCGTTTCCTGCAAGCTGGTTCATGTATGCCGGCTTACATTGGTGGCATGAGAACGTTGGCAATAATGCAGACCCAAGTATATCCTCGTGCATGTATAGAAATGTTCGATGGTCAGGTTAAAGTTCAAAGCCCTTGATAGAATATTTTGTCTGTTGAAGAAAAGTAGCCATGACTTGGTTTTCTTTGTAGGAATGGCTTTTCGGTTGTAGCGGTTTATCCTTTTATCAGTACGCCTAAAATTTAACTATGGGTGCAGGAAGTCGGGTGCAACCATGCTCAAGGTGTTGGATTTTCAACAGACGGGTTTGCAACAACTCCCACCATGAGGAAATTGCATCTCATTTGGGTGACTGCTCGCATGCACATTGAAATCTACAGATACCCAGCTTGGTTGGTTTTCCTCCTTTCATCACCGGCCACCACACATTATTGAGCATGAAGTCCCTTCCATGTTCTTTGCTGACTAATAAGATATGGGCTTACATGCTTTACAGGAGTGATGTAGTTGAGATAGAGACGTGGTGCCAGAGTGAGGGTAGGATTGGAACCAGGCGTGACTGGATCATGAAGGACTATGCTACTGGTGAAGTTATTGGAAGAGCTACAAGGTAAGCTTTTGACTTCTTATATGGGTCGTTCTTCACCCTGCCTGTCTTGCTTGTTTAACTGAAATGGTTCCTTTTGTTTCTCTAATAACACAGCATTTGCATCTGTCGACTATGCACATGATTTTATGTTCCTTATCCAGTGATGTATTGTGGATATCACAAAATGGGTTCTCTAACTTTCAGCAAGTGGGTGATGATGAATCAAGATACTAGGCGGCTTCAGAAAGTCAATGATGAAGTTCGTGAGGAGTACCTAGTCTTCTGTCCAAGAGAACCAAGGTAGTCACTCCATGTATTTCAGCTGAATGCCTATTCTCTTTTATGCCAGGCAGCTATCCGTCTTGGCTTGCTAAGTCTTTAGTGCTTTGCCTTCTCGTTACTATATTCCATCTTTCACTCAGTTTTCTTGTTTAGCACATATGTAAGCAAACTACTTGTCTTGTCTTCATCCTGACCTCTTTAAATGTGGGGGAGGCATGACGGTCACATTCTCTTGGATCTGCTTCTCAATATCAGTTTTTATTATGTATCATAGTCTTCAATTCAGTTTTACCGGCGTTCGTTTTGTGTAAGCTGAGGTTAGTTCTCAGTTGTAAATGATGACTGTGTGGCTAAAGCTTATAGTTTGTTTCAACCTTTTACAGGCCTAATGGTCACTCCCGAAAAGAGAAGCTGAAAGTTGTTACTTGTTGCTTTGTTGTTTTTTGGTCGCTTGCAGATTATCATTCCCAGAGGCAAACAACCGCAGCTTGAAGAAGATTTTGAAACTAGAAGATCCCGCTCAACATTCAAGACTGGGTCTTACGGTAATATACTTGGTTAAGCTGCATTTTATGCTTCCTTTTTATTTTATTTTATTTTATTTCATTGATTATTGCTGCTTTCCCTGATGATACCTGTGGCATTTCAGCCAAGAAGAGCTGATCTGGATATGAATCAACACGTCAACAATGTGGCGTATATTGGATGGGTTCTCGAGGTTGGTAACTGGAAGCCCATGTCTCGTTCATCTTGGAACTACCTTGCTTGATTTTCAGGGTCTTAATACTAAGTGTTATTGAAATGGAACTTCATTACAGAGCATGCCTCAAGAAGTGATCGACACGCATGAACTGCAAACAATCACCTTGGATTACAGAAGAGAATGCCAGCAAGACGATGTAGTCGATTCACTCACTAGCGTGGAACCCGTCGACGAGCCAGAAGTCCATGGCAAGACAAACGGGTCAGCCTTGTCACCTGCGGAGGAATCCCTCAACTTCCTCCACATGCTTAGATTGGCAGGTGAGCAAGGGCTCGAGATAAACAGAGGACGCACTGAATGGAGAAAGAAACTAGGGAGATGAAAGAGCCGTCACCCTAGGAGCACATTTATGTAACTTCCAGATACCTTTCTTATTACAGTTTTGGAGCTGGTGTGTTTTTATTTTCCCAGGTGTGTGCTTTTGCTTGGTGAGTGGGTTAGTTACTTGGTTGTAGTTCGCTTTGCCTGCCCGGCTAGCTTTACAGAAGGTGTGGGACTGAAGATTGTTTTGTTATACTGCTATATATATAAAGAGAGAGCGAAGAGGAACACTGATGCATAGACATTACAGCTAGCTGATAGTCACAACTCAATTCCAGATGAACAAACTGTTGTACCTTATATATCCCACCTGTTGTTTTTCCCACTGCAGTCGTGTATGTCAAGAACCAGTTGATCCCAATAACTCGAGTTATTGGGATCAACTGGTTCTTGACATGGTATTAGAGCCTTCTGTGACCGAGAGGTCTTGTGTTCGATTCCCGGTGACCCCCATTTGTTAAGCACATGGTATTCTTGTCTTCAGACCTGTGCAAACTTCAAGCCCTTGTGAGTGGCTTTCGTTTGAGGGGGCGTGTTAGTGTTGTGGTATATGATCCACGATTGAACCTCTCTCAACAACTCGAGTTATTGGGATCAACTGGTTCTTGACAGTGTATACTTGTTTTACATTTGCCACTAAATTTTTGTTATTGCATTAGCCTTCATCAAGGTTTTCAAATCGGTTTATACCGTTGCGCTGGTATAACAAGTGGAATGGGTTTACCAGTGGTACGACGGTTCATACCGGTTTAACAAATTATGTAAAAATGTAAAAAATCATTAACATCAACATTTAAATATCAACATTTAAATATAACATTTAATGTCAATAAGTAAATGTTTATATTTGAATCTAACAAATAACATCAATATTTATCTTTTAGATTCATAAAATAAATTATAAATTATTTTTTGATTAATTAAATTCACTAAAACGACGTCATTGTACTTGAAAGTCTTAGATGGACCATGCCAGTTATATTATGTGTCATGCCAATTTTATGACTGGTACTGGTTGGACCAGGTTCAACCGATGGGCAACGCACCGACATGGCCATCATAGATTTTATATTTGCATTGCACTAACAGTCACTAATTTCATAAAAAAATCTTATGTGCTAGTTAACCATTTTCTTTTGATCGTTAAGTGAATAATGTGTCAACTAAAAAATAATAAAAAAGATTATTTTAAATTATAAAATAATTTTTTTTAATTGGTTGTTGGCTCTAAGGGTCGAATCTAGAATATGATAGATGTTCTCATTCTCACATTACCACTAAGAGGACCCCTTGAATTACTATTTATAATTTCTATAATCACCATCTTTCGGCAAATTTTGTCATCCATATGGTTTTCTTTAAACTAGACTAGTCTTATGCACACTTCTCATCCCCAAATTACCACTAGGCGGACCCCTTGAATTACTAATTTTAATTTCTATCATCACCATCTTTCCGCAAAATTTGTCATCCATATGGTTTTCTTTAAACTAGACTAGTCTTATGCGCACCCAATGGTAGGGGTGGAAGTTTGGTTTGCGAATTGCAGATAATTCTCAAACCGCACACTTTGTGGGTAATCATACTCACAATTTGTGGATAGTGAGTTGGGTGTGGGTAGCAATATATTGATTTTTGTGGTTAGTGGTTAACCACTATCCACAGCGGTTAACCCACAAAACTCACAATAACCACACTAAGTATATTTACTTATTACTAATACTTTGTAATATTAAAGTATGTGAAAAGTAGAATGCTACAAATTAAAGTGGCCTCCAAAATCAAATATGTACGTCTTCTATAAAACAAAACCAAGTGTTCGTATGAGATACTTTTTTTAAGTAATCATTGTGCTCGTGGTATGTGTTTATTTTATAACAAAACCAAGTCAATAAATGTGGTTTATAGTTTATTTAACAATTTATTAAAGTTTCTTTTATGTAGGTTTTTGTTTTTGTGTAAAAAGACGTCAATTCCGCATCTCGGGAGATAATTCCATTTATCGCTATAAAATTCGAATAAAAAAGCAAAGGAGTCATGTCGATGATAAAGATGCTATGTATATTTAGATTAGATCCCCTCCAACCCATACTCGTTATCAATCTGCATTTCCTAAAGAAAGTGAAGTGACCTGTAAGCGAGTGAAGTGAACCAAGAAAAGGGAGGTTGACTACTTAGAAAGTTCTGAATACCGGATCCTCGCTCGTTCCATGTCTTGGGCTTCTAACCGTGGAATTTGGTTTCCGCCGGCTAATCTTGCTCCCGCGACACACCTCCCGCTTCGACGGACATGGTCCTTCCTCCTGATGCTCGCATCACTTCCCCTCTTCTCTGGAAAACTACCTAGCTAGGAATGTGAGGTGCTAGTAGATTATATTACCAGCAAAATCTATTATTGGAGGGATCACAAGATCGCTTATGCAGATAGAGTGCAATTAGTCTCTTCTGTATTATATTCTCTTGTGCAATTTTGAATGACTATCTTTGTCTTGCCTAAGAAGATAATCGCCCAACCATATCAGTCAAGAGCTTATTAGAGTGATTAAAGAATAAATAATTTTTTATATCATAGTAAACGTCAAATTTGGTAGTGATTTTGCAGCTCATGTGTTCTTTTAGCTTTATGGTAGCCAAATGCCAAAACTAGCTGCTTGTGCAGGGAAAATTGGTTTACGACCCCAACCAACGCTAATGGGAAAAGGATGGCCAAACACGAGTTGACCTACCACATGTACTTGGGTTGGAGTCTCAGTTGACTTGTATACGACCGGTTCGAATCCCTCCTCGCCCACAACCGGCCAAAAAGGGAAGGACCTTTCCCTCTGGAGGTAGGAAAATCGTGATCGGGATAGCGGACTCAAAGCTATGGAACTTGGGTGTTGATCACCAAAAAATTTCCTACCGCTACCATAGAGCATTCGTCTCTATTTGGTCATAAAAAAAAGCATCCGTTTTTTTTTTTATATGTCAGAAAAACTAACCCTAGTTTTATTCCTAGATTTCCATGATCATTTTGGGAGAGTTGAGCAAAGGATCCAACCCAATCATGGGTTAATTGCAAGGATGGTCACTGGGTTTACTAAAACCGTTCATGTTTGGTCACTGCAAATATTTAATTTCATTCATGGTCACTAAGATTAGTTCAATAGTTCAAGTTTGGTCACTCTCCGTTAGTCTCCGTTAGTTTTTTCTGATGTGGCAGTCAACTATTATAGTTGACCGTTAAATGAGTGACGTGGCCAATAAAAAAAATATTTACAATTTCCACCTCATTTTACAACTATTAAAAAATAAAAATAAAAATAAAACTTATTCTGGGTGTCCCCAATCAACGCCGTGAAGAAACAGTGAGCAGGGAAACTCCATTCCAGGCCAACGAAACGAACCCAGGTTTGGATTCAACTAGCGAGTAACATGGGTTGTAATTGTAGTTCCAAAGAAGGATCTTCGCCTGGTTCATGGCGTAATTGCTCAGCGCCACAGCCTGAAACCCACAACTCTCCATCAGTACCCGCCATTGCTCTCTGTCTTCCATCCTTTCCCTTCTGATTCCGGGCTTCTCCTCAGGGCCGACCACCCCGGCGATTCTCCGACCCAGCAACATTCTCTCCACTTCAAGCCTCTCCGTCGAATCCCCACTCAAGCTCGGCTCCAGAGACTCGAACACGGCGGAGTAGTCAACTATTATAGTTTTTGCTGATGTGGCAGTCTACTCCTACTCCAACGTCCTCGACGGATTCTGTGCTTCCCTCACTGACCCGGCGCCGTCGCCGGCGGGTTGAGCTCCGGCCCCGCCCTCTCCGGGAAGAGCTAGTGGGTGGTCGGGATATTACCCTCCTTCCTCAAAATGTCGAAGGCAAATGCAGAGGAAGCGGCGGGGATGCTGTTGAGCGAGCGGAGAAAGGGAATTAAATATTTGCAGGGACCAAACATGAACGGTTTTAGTAAACCCAGTGACCATCCTTGCAATTAACCCACCCAATCATCATTCACTTTTAGTCATGGTCTTTTGCTTTCCATGTCATGCCTTTTGTACTTCATTGTGCAGTCATAATAGTTTTGACTTTTGTAATGACAGTTCACCGACGATGTTAAGTTGCCTCCACCAAATGTTTGATAGTACAATCCACTTTCTTGGCACGAAGATGGTGATAGATTTGAGAAAGTATAGACGGGGTGTGTGTGTGTCTATGTGAATGTTCTTGCGAATTAGCCATGCCCACTTCCTAGTCACCAATGCAATCCAAACGTGACACATGAAACCTTCATGATCGTTCAAGCATTGGACATGAATTTAATTTTTTGATAGAATTTAGGACATGGTACTAAGATTCCTCTGTCAAAGCATCTAGAACCTCACTCTTTTGACCATTGTTGCAATGTCATCCCCACCTCAAATGACCGAGTTGGATCCACCCATATGCAATGGGATCAAATTTCGGGTTTTTGTTGTGAACATACCTTTCACCCCTTCAATGCTCACCGATGCTAAATCTCTACATCTTCCTCTTCTATGTTTACTTGGTTAATCACAACTCGAGTTTAGTTCATCATAAGTTGTCCTTAGAAGCTTCAATGAATAGTATAATTAGTGACATCACATGTGTTCCTTCCTCGCCTGCATTTGACTCAGTCGATGGTGATTCATTTGTCAGTTATGCACTTGTTATGGTGAATTCTAAGCCTCTAGTTTTATGCAGTTTGAATTCTCCACTGGCTGGGATCAACGTTGCAAGCACACCATTAATACCAAGAAAAGGGAGAAAACTGTTAGACTCTACCAGTATAGAGTCGCACCAACTTCTGCCATGGTATGTTTTGTGCCTTCCTTTTGTTGTCACTGTACTCCGTATAATCAGTTTGGTGTTTTTATTGTGCTCTTATTTTCATGCACTAATTAACTTGGTGTGACGATACATGCTCTGCTTCTACTAGAGTAGGAAACAACATCTTCCATCAGAAACCATCGCCTGCTGTAGCACTGGCCAAAACCATCCCCACCTTTTATGTCGCCCGTCAAGCTACGACTCCCTTCGAGAATCAATTAAAATTGCTTGAGATAGTCGTATTTGTTGTTTCCAAAGTAGATTTTGTTTCATCTTTGCTTCCCTCATCGATATTCTTACAACATCGCTGAGTTAGCCAACTATCTTGTCCAAACTTATCATTCTAGAAAAATATTAGTACGTAATATGGTAATTGAGAAATGTTTTTTTTTTTTTGGGCAATGTCTATTTTTTACCCAAACCTTTTTCATATTCTTTTATTTTAACCAAACCTATTGAATTCCTAAAAATTATCCAAACGTTAATTCTCCGTCAACTTTTCTGTTAGTAATGCTGACTAAGTATGACCATAATGAGTTGACTTCCTACGTGGCGGTCAGAATACCATCATTTACTATTTTTAATAAAAATATTATCAAAAAACAAAACAAAATCCCACCTCTCACGTGGACAAAATAAGTAACGGTAATAGAATGAATGCCCAGACTTTGATAAATTATAATACGTTTGGATAATAAATAGAATTTCTATAGGTTTGGTTAAAATAAAAGAATCTGGAAAAGGTTTGGGTAAAAAATAGACATTGCCTTTTTTTTTAAATAGTGTAAATTGGAGAAACATCCAAAAACATTTCTTGTCCCCTATTGGAGGGTTGGGTCAAATGGTTGGTATTGCTGAGGCACACTTTAACATTCAACTATGAAGTGGGATGGTTTGGTGTTGAAGCTCATTGGGTGTTTTGAATTTCAACCTTTCTGCTGATCACATTACTTGTGAATTCCAAATTCCTACCCACCACCAAACTCTCAGAATTGAAGAAAGTTAGAGGTTGACTATTGAGTTTAATGCATACAAGTTCTTAGGAAAACTAAGACCACAGTATGTCTCCGCTATTGAGCGACTCAGAAAGTGGATTAAAATTAATTTAGCTATTGACTATTGAGTTTAATGCAAACAAGTTGTTAGGAAAACTAAGACCACAATATGTCTCCGCTATTGAGCGACTCAGAAAGTGGATTAAAATTAATTTAGCTAACGTCTTCAACATATTATGGTAGACTATACTAATACTAATATATTAAGTACGGGAGTTTAGTGGTTCGATTCGACGGCTTTAGATCAATTAAGAGACCAATAAAAATAATAAAAAATTTGAGGAATCAAAACTAAAAATTACATTTGATCCAGTTCCATTTGGATCAAATTTTTATATGAACTTCTTTTTCTATATTATTTAAATGTTTTATGAAATTGAAATCGAAGCACATTATATTCAATCATATCTAATTTACCAAAATGTTAAAAATTTGATCTGAACTGCACCCTATTATGAGGCCATATATTTAACGGAGAGCATAGGTAATTCAAACGGCTAAGAAAAAAACATCCCCGTTTGTCCTTTTCTTCAAACAAGAAATAGATGGTTGAAACGTCCTCATTCTCCATGGGTAGCTGAGGTAGGTTAATTAGTTGGCAATGCACCTACCTAACCTAGTAATGACGAAGAATTTGGGCTCAGGGCCTACAGTTCCACTGATTCAAGTCAAATGCCAAAACTAGCTACTTGTGCAGGAAAAATTGGTTTACGTCCCCAATCAAAATGGAATCGAATGGTTCGTGTGTACTTATTACTTCCTCCCATCTCTTCTCCAAATGTTCGTCTCCACCACTACCAGAATGCAGCCCCAAAACGGCAAATACCCATTTGCAGGTCGACAATTGGCATTCAATTGCCAACTACATCCAACCTCAACTGCCCCTCTGAGGCTCGCTCTGACCCTGGGAACTATAAATTTGCGGCGCCATTCTTCAACATCATAAGGCAGCAAAAGGAGAGAGAGAGAAAAAAACAGAGAGAGAAGAAGCAGAATAGTGAGTGAGAAACATGAGCAAGGAGGCATGGCTGGTGCTGGTAGTGGTACTGGTACTGGGTTCCTCACTGGTTGCCCAAGGAGCAAGAGATGTTTGGACCAACGAGGCTACTGACGTTTACCAGCCACAGAACTTCTTCGGCCTTGGGCCCGGAGGCGGGCTCGGAGGCCTGGGCGGTTTCAGCTGGCCTTTCGGACTACTCTGGCCGGGCTTGGGCTGGCACCATGGACTTGGCCATTGGCTTGGCCATGGCCTTGGTGGTGGAATCGGCACTGGGATCGGAGGGGTTGGACCAGGAATCGGAGGCGCTGGACCTGGAATCGGAGGGGCTGGACCGGGAATTGGAGGCGCTGGACCTGGAATCGGAGGGGCTGGACCAGGGATTGGAGGGGTTGGACCAGGAATCGGACCTGGAATTGGTGGGGCTGGACCAGGAGTCGGACCAGGAATTGGAGTGGGGCCAGGGGTTGGACCAGGGAAACTCCCAGGAGGGCCTGGCCTAGCTGCAACTGCCAAAGAAGACGACGGCCATCCTTGAAACATGAAGAACAGCAGAAAGATGACGACGTATTAAATAAATATGAACCCTTACTTAAGCTCGTATTTGCTTCTATCGAAGCGGGTGATATGTAAAAGTTCCAAGAGTAATAACATTACATTACCAGATATTCGTATTCCTCGTCTTTTACCTTCTCGTGTAAGGACATTTACCATAATGAACCTCTTAACTTCTGCATCAGCAATTCACATTACGCATCCATACCTTGCGCAAGCAAAGTCGAACCTGAAAAAACCACATATGGCTGACTGACAAGAAGCTATAAGTCTATAACCTTTCACTTGATTAAACTGCTGGCATTCAATCCATCCAAATTCCGGTTACTATACACCATCTAACAGCGAAACAACAAGGCAGGCAACACACCGGCTGCTGCAACACAAGTTCAAGGGGCCGAATAAAAACAGATTTTGCCACTTCATGAATACATGACAAATCTGTTTCAATTGCACATGTTAAGATAAACTACTTGTTCCTGATACCAATCGAAAGATTAAGACAGAAAAAACGAAAGCAATTTTGCATCTGTAATGCTACCGCTGCTGTCCCCCCGTTCCACCGATCAATCTCAAAGCTATCCTGATTAACCCTGTTACAAATGGAAGGAAATAAAGTAACTTAGATTGAGGAACAACCCCGATCTCGCATTCAGTAACAACAACGCAAGCGTAAGATCGCAAGACTTGACATAGTTCAAGTTTCAGATAATTCGCGACACCCAGATGCGCGCACTTCTCCGTGACTTACTGTCATTTGAAGGGTCTGCATCTACACACTTACTTCCGCCATTTCATATAGCATCTTATCCCTACTAAAATTGTTTTATGCATGCTTTCACAAGCACATAAATTCTATCTCGGAAGCGAAAACTCTGAAAATGAACACTGTAGAAGCTAGCATCAAGAACCAGAGAATCAAGGGAACTTACACAGCGATGGCATATCTGTACATCAGTATCAACCGGTTGATGGAAGGAACACCCTAATAAGATCTTTAGCAGTGACTTTTTTCCTGCAAGTAGGACATTTAGGCTGACGAGCTATTGCAGCCTTGATACATTTCTTACAGAAAATGTGTCCGCATTTGGTTGATGTCTCCTCAACAAACGGAGACATACAGATTGGACAGTTAAAGATTGGTTCCGGAGGTGGAGGTGGCGCTGCAGGTGGCTCCACCTTGTTCTTCTGGATGGAAAAAGGAATGAGACGTAAATGATTTGAAGGAAACCATCAGCAGCAATCTTCAGAGACAGACAAATAAAAGCCGTGAAGAATAGGAGATATGAGTTAAAGTGTAGGCACTACCATGGAGCCACTGTTGCTTTCCAAATTAATCAAATCACAGTTGATAACTGGAACTCTTCTACGCTTTTCTCCCCTACAAGGTGTCACAGCCGTTGTTTGTCCTGCAGTGAAGGTGGTTAAGAGAGACTATTAAGCAATAACCAACAACAAAACCTCAAAAAGCACTTAATCTATAAGTGGACAACGGTAAACATGACCAAGTTAAGCTTACAACTGGTATCTAGAGTGATACTAAAACAACAAAACAAAAGAATGATCAACGGGAATAATAAGCAACCTGACTCCACATCAAAAACAGTCCTGGATCGAGTTCTGCGCGCATTGTTCCTGGCCTGGAAGAATCATGCACAAACAAAGAAACAACTGCCTTTAGACCCAACCCTTAAGGAGAATAGACAAGGTAAGCTGACCCTCTTGAGAATAGGTAAAGACAGAAAACATACTTCAGCGAAAGCCGTTGGTGAGGATTCAACAACATCATCATCTAGAGCCTCGACATCAATGGTCGGAGCTACAGAAGGCACTTGTTGGCCTACTTGAACTTGATTTGTCGCATCTTGAGCTGAAGTTCCAACCTGGTCCCGGTTCTCACTTGGCACCACGTTCAAGTCTGGCACAGGCTTTTTACTTCGATTCCTCGAGGAAATTCCCTTAGCCCCCTGAGCCAGAGTGCTCATTCTCTATTTAACAGCTTTCACGGTAATTGTCCCACGCCTGAATCAAAGTTTCAACACAATTTAACTTCATTTTGTAATCCAAAGAGAAGCATCATCACATCAGGGATGAAAGATTACGATGGAATTCACTACAACTAAAAATAAAATCAATCGTAGCATCCAGAACGAACAAAGAAAGGAGGATTCTTTGATAGGGACGAGGCACATCGCACATTCAAGTCGTACAACATTTAATGGCCAACCCTCAGACTCCAAACAAGATGGACATTGAAAATGAAACACAAAACACCACGAGTTAACGCCAAACTAATCATTACCAAGGAACACTCGAACAAAAGCCTCAAGCTAAGCAACGATCGGCTCTAGCAGCAACAACCAGTTCATAACACTAAAATTCTCTATTCCCAAAATTTTCTTTCTCGTGCTCAAAGTATGAAACTCCAGCAAATCCGTCTTTTTCGTAACCAAATGAGCCGGTACGACATGAGACCATAGCAAAACTAAGAATTTCTTCAAAACTACCATCCATCGGCACCAATCACCGCAGAGAAAAAAGACTGACTCCGTAAAACCCCTAAAAATCCCTGAAATAAAACCAAAACGCGACCGCCGACGCTGCTGCAACGAACAAATCGGACCAAGGCGGTGGCGGGCACCCAAAGATCGAACAAAAAAAAAACCCCGAGAGGATAAACGATTTGGTACCTCTACAGAATTGCGACTGAGCACGTAGGTTCCTAGAGAGGAGGATGGATCTGGCTTCAGTAGGGGATCAATGGAAGATGAGTCAATTTGCTGGTATAGGGAAAGGAAGCAGACCTTCTTACTCTCTTCGGAATAGGGATTCACCAATCACCACCATTAATAAAAAGGCTCCTCTTCTCTGGTCTAGGGTTTTAACATAAACAAAACGTAACTTCACAGAAAATAAAGAGAGGGAGAAGGAAAAACTAAAAAGGACTTTTTTGAGGCCAAACCAGACCGAAGCGAAGAGGAAGCAAACGTGCTGGTGCTGTTTATGATTAAATTAATTAAAAATTAAATATGGGCCAGGGCCACCAAAATAATGGAGAAAAAGAAGAACCCAAACGCTCGACTGGTCCAGGTGGAGTTTGCGCGAGTCGGCTTGGTGGTAAACGGCTTCAACGCGGCAGCACCCGTCATCATGCGTTACGCAGTTTGGCCTTGCGTTTGCTGACGATACGACACACGTGATGTCACGCTCCGGCTTCGCTCCGGTTAAATTGGTACGAATTGATCTGGTCTCAGTCCCGTCTTTTCGGGAGTATAAGGACCAAAGATTGAATTGGATACAGTCCAGTCTTGATCCGGTCTGGACTTGACTCGATCCGGTCCCAATTCGATGTTGATTTTAGATTGAGCTTTGGGGATTTGAGTGGCCTGAGGACTCAAAAGGTGAGAGTTGGTTAGATTTTGGGTGTTGGGCTCTCTTATCCAGTCTTTATAAGGTTTTTGATCCGGCCTCAAACGGTTTTTTACCTCAAATCTAAGCCGGAAAATTGAATTGAATTGTTTGCTATCCGGTTCCGGTCCGGTTTTGGGTAAAACTAAATAGTCCGGACCAAATAGCCAGCCCTACTACTTGTATTCAAGCTTCAAATAATTACTCTTGGGGAGAGGTTATAGAGCATCCCAATTGTACCAATATCATCGTCCATCTACATGCAATTTTAAGAGTGGTCCCTACTGTCACATTATCAACTTTAACAATTATCTCACTCCTCATTTTTCATGCCACCTACTTCAATGTCATCACATGCAATTGTAATTGTGGGTCCTACTTAACTTTTTACTATTCAATATTCATATTATCTCTATCATTTTACTTAAATATTGCAATATCTTTGCAAAACCCTCTCATTGTTGGATCGTCCAACGTTTCTTTCCTTTTCCTCCTTTTTGATTTGACCTGCAAATGTCATATATATTATCGTATCTCTGTTGTCTCCCCATGCAGGATACCTTTGACAAAAAAAAAATCTTTCTATAATTAATATCAATTAAAGTTAATAAATATAATTATAAATTTTGATTTTGTGACGACTAGCCTTGTTTTGTCGATGAAAACTTCTGCTTCGGATTAGTCGAAGATCAATAGGATTTTGGACAGGTAGAAGCTTCAATCCACTTTAAAAACTTCTTCTTCGAGAGTCGCATCTTATAGAGAAGATCTTAGGCGAATAGAACATTTGTTCCAATTACAAAACTTCTACTTTCATAGTTGTTTTAGATCGTCGGGATTTCGAATAGGTAGAACAATAGTGTTAATGGCAAAAACTTCAACTTCCAAATTATCCTAAGATTGACAGGATCTTAAGTATATGATATCGAGATAATGGTAAAAACTTCCACTTTTGGAATCGGCTCAAATTGACAGGATCTTGAGTACGTAGAAAACTCGTGTTGATAACGTGTTATGAATAGTTATCTCGAAGATGGACACAAGCAACACTATTAGCACGAAGTAGAGCAGAAGAAGAAACACCGTTTTTATTTGATACTCTCAACCCCATATTACACCGAACACGGGAAAGAACATGTAGAGAGTAACATAGGTAATTGCTTTTTTTTGTGTATTCTCATCTTCTCCAAGTATGCCTTTATATAGGCCCTTCTCTTCATTAGTTGGAGGTGGCTAGGGAAATGGTAGTTGAGAAAGTTTTATAGACATTCAGCTGGATTTCATAATACTCCCTCTTGGATGTCCATTGATTCAGAACATGCTTCTTTAAAACCTTATTAGGAAAAACCCACTGGGATAAAAACCTAGTGAAGGAAAAAGAGTACATGATTCATTTGTTATGCCTTTGTATACTGCCTCATTAAAAACCTCACCAGAATAACCCAATGGTGCAGAGGTTAATTTCTCTCACTCGTGGTGAGATCTGTCAATAATTTGGAGTCATCAAACTCCAACAATCTTTCACAAGATAGTGTGGATTATCTTGCTAGTCGTGGTCATTTTTTACCTATGGAGTTCCATAGTTTTTCAGTTTTCGGATCCTGTTTTTACCAATTTATCATGTATGGTTGTCAAAGACTCTCTTAGTCTTGTTTTGTTGTGAATGAAAGCTGAAATTTGTTGCACCATTTATATAAAAAAAATCTTAAAAACTAAATTTTCATAGGATTTTAACTATTTTGAGGTCCTAACTAGTTAAATTGATTGAATTTGGAACAAGTCAAATTGAGTTAACGGAATCAAATCAAATCACTGAGTCAACTTTCCTTCTTTTCCCGCCTTACCGAAACCTTATGAGCAACCCTTATTTTTTCCTTCTCCTCCATCAACATCATCTCGTGCTCTCTAGCATGTAACTAGTTCCCATCATCAACCCAAAGCGACTCATTAATTATCACTAATTTGCAACTTCCAAGCAATCAATTCCATGGATCCATGACTTCCACTAACAACTCCATGAGAGCTCTTTTGGCGCAAGATTTGGCACCTCCAAGTACCAGAACGAGTTCGTCTTTTCATGTGGACAGCAGCGAAGGGAAGGTTGACTACGAACAGCATTAGAAAGTTCAGACATCTCACCTCGGAAGACAAGTGCGCCTTATGCGATACAGAAATAGAAACAAACTTGCACTGCTTGAGAGACTGCAGCAAGATCAAAAGAGTTTGGGAAAAAAATTGTCCCAATAACACAGCAGCAGTTCTTTTCAGCGAACCAGGAAGACTGGTTGAAGATAAATCTGGAGAGCAACGAGAACGATGGAGAGACAGGGGAGTGGGCCAACTTCTTTGCTTTGGTTAGTTGGTACATCTGGAAACATCGGAATGATTATATCTTTAAAGCAATCAGATTATCCAACTATAATCTCATTAATTACATTGTATCGAAGGCAAAAGACTGGACAAGTACTTGGAAAAGGGCTATGGAAACAAGAGATTCACTGACTAAGCCAGCAAGGGAAGAGCAGTTAATAGGTTGGTCTCCACCACAGCCAGGTTGGAGCAAGCTAAATACGGATGGCGCCGCTCAGGGGAATCCGGGATTTATTACTGCAGGAGGAGTCCTTAGAGATAGTGAAGGAGATTGGATAGCGGGCTTTTGTTTGCAAGATAGGCATCGGATCCGCCATTCTGTCAGAGCTATGGGGCATCCACCAAGGACTCGAACTAGCTTGGAGGAAGGGAATACAATATCCGATACTTGAAACAGATTCGAAACTTGCGGTGGAACTCATCAATAAAAGATCAGACCCGGTACATCCTCATGCCACCCTTCTAGACTCTATTCGCAGAATGCTTGCTCAGAGTTGGATTGTTCGTTTGGTTCATACATATCGCGAAGGGAATAGAGTCGCGGACTGGCTCTCGAAGCACAGTCTCGTCTATCCCTTTGGTACGTATGAATTAGATGAACTACCAACAGATTTAGAGAGACTCCTACGTGAAGACATGATTGGGATCAGCTTCCCTCGGCAGGTGATTATAGATGGTTCAAATGAGTGACTGTTTTACTGGTCATGGATTTTGGCTTGTGATAGAATTTGCTTGTGAGCATTTGAGTATGTTTTCTTCCTGTTGGAAGGTGATCTGCTCCTCCCTTGAGCACTCTGTAACTGTTTCTCTAGCTTTTGCCTCCCCTCAATAAAAAAAAAAGAGCTCTTTTGACTTTCATTAATAATCATGTCTACCAACGATGCTACTACTTATACATCTAATGCAAAACAATCAAAAAAGAAAAGAAATGTTCATAAGAGTAGAAATATTTGGCTTGGAATATGAGAGTGAATTGCATTTGTTGATTTGTTCTAATTTTGATTACTTCAGTGTTGACTTTGTACAATTATTTCGAGAAGACAATATCTTAAGTATTCAAGACTTGTCTAATTAATACTATCCAGTGTTTTATGTCTCATTTTTTATATGGTAATTAAAGTCCTACACGTTTTCAATTTTATGAATCTAAAATATACAACAGAAAAAGCATTAAAAATTATAACTTCTTGTTGAACTCTCTAAATTCATGCTCCAAACACCCATTGTTCACTAGGATTTGAATTACTTGGATCTTAGTTCTCTAAGAACAAGTAAATTAGTGCAGAAGAAGAAAATAACATAATATGACAATACAGACGGAATCTCATTTCTTTGTCAAGTAGTTTTCAACAAGCTAACAGAAATAAAGAAAGTAAAGTAAAGAAATGGACTATGAAATAACAAACAAACACTTGTTAAGAAAACAAGTTAAAACCAAAGAGATAAGAAATCAATTTGAACAAAGAAAAGCTCTAGCCCTCTTTCTTAGAAAAGAATTCAGAGCTTCTCAGTTATTCTGATCATGAAGTTATTGACCGCATCTTTCTCTAACACAATCCAGGAAGACTCGAATAACTCATGGAAGTACTCTGCTCCAATCTCCTGCGCAGCATTTCTGAACGCAGCTCCAAATGCATTTCCTTTCAGCGCACCCAGTCGAGGCTTCCCGCACACTCCAACTATCAGCATCTTGTTTGCATCTGGTGACAGGCAAGCGCACAGCAATGGCTTCGGCCGAGCTCCTTTCTCTCTCAATGCATCCATTACAAAGTAGCAGAACTTTGTTAAGGCCTGTGGGTATCCCAACAGCTTGGTGTCGATGGAGTCCTCAAGTTTCACCCACCTGAACTTTCTCCCACTTCTAACACACCCGCTCTTGGTTATGGCTGCACTTCCTTGCCTGAGAATAGCCCTCTGCACCTTGATCGCCTGTTGCATTCCAGCTCGTAACTTGTCGAGATTGTTCAACGACAGTGCATCATAGGCCACCCCGAATTGCTTGGAAGCACAAGAGCCATCAGAATTCACAAATGATTCCAGCAATGCTGTCACCCCATACACCACATCTGCTGCTGAAACTCTGGAGCTATAACCATGCAGCCTCAGGAAACTCCTGTAGTAAAACTCATTAAGCCCATACTCGGGTAAGAACCGTTCGAATTCATCCTTCATCTTTTTCTTCACGTCAAGGTTCATGTACTGAAACTTCTGCTGGCAATCCACAAGTGCAAACCCCATCCTGGCAAGCAGAAGCTTGAGCTTCTTCATGCCATTGTCGCTCCATGTCTTCAACTTGGGTGCGATGTAGGAAGAGCACAGCATTGAATCAAACAAATTCCACTCCCGCAACAACATAAGTCTTGGTTCGTCTTCATATGAGATTCTCGATGACTCAGGCGCTCGAATCTTGGTTCCATCTTTCAGAGTCACTGCCGTAATTGCCTCCAGATTTCCCATACTGTTGATGTGCTGTTCTAGCTCCATCACCCCAGCCTGGTACCTCTCATCTGTCAGCCTCTCGTGAACAAACTGATCAGTTAGCGAGACACAAGCTAACCAAAGCAGCTCATTCGTATTCTTCCTCAAAGAATGAGACAGTTCATACATCAAGCACCCAGAGGGCTTCCCATGGAAAGTACCCATGCTATAGTATTCCCTCTTCAATTTCCTGTAAAGCTGAAGAGGGTCATCTTCATTCTCTTTAGATACCTTCCGCCGCTTCCTTGCATTCCCATCTCCATCCTCATCCTCACTGTCACTGTCTTCATCCCTCTCGCTATCAGAACTCTCATTCCCCTCATCATCACTGTTCAAGTCACCAGCATTAGCCAAAGCGGAAACATCGAAATCATGAGCCGCATCAGAAAAATCATAAGCCAAGTCAGCTTGTCTCTCATCCTCCCTAGTATAGAGTATCACAACATTCTCATTCTGCTCATTCAGGTTGTGCAAATGGATCGGGCGGTGGCTATCGACAACGAAGACCCGAACCCCGGGTCCCAACTGCAGCAACCTCCTCAAATCACGCTGGCATCCCCAGTTGACTAAGAGGATTGAAATGGGCTCCTCAGGTGATGAAGAAGTCAGATCCTGGCCAGCATACTTGTGAATTTCTTGGAAAGAAGACACTGGGTAGCAGGCATACCGGATCGAATCCGACTCTATGATGTTAAAAATGACCTTGAGCGCACAGAGTGAATCTACATCTGATGTCGACGGGAATATGAGTAGAGGTGAGAGTGTGGAAGCTGAGACCGACTCCCGAAGGCGTTTATAGAAAGACTCCACCTTTTGCTCTCTCACCATGACTTCCTTCCTTTTTTCTCTCCCTCGATATTCAGTCCCCCAAAACTTCTAATCCAATGAAGAACAAGAACCCACTAGAAATTGATCGAATTAGGAACGCATTGGCGAGGAAACAATGACCAATCTCACACCAGAGCAACTCAAATTGAATTTTAAAGCTCGCAACAGATTGATTTCGCCCAAGGAACTAGCTAGAAATCAAAAGTAACAGCATTGACCTAGCTCGGAGAAGCTTCCCAATGGATCTAAGAAACAGAACAGCCGCAGCTCAATTAGGGCAAAACAGGATTTGAGCTCCAATCACTGAGGCGACCACAGCTTTCCCGAATTCCCTTTCAAACTTGCTACTCGACGGGCGCCGAATGTTTGTAGTTGGGGAAGAAGAGGGGATACCTGAGAAGTGTCGGCGTGAAATGAGAGAGCCTTCGCTGGATTCGCCGTCGGCGTTGGAATCTGAAAGAGGCGGGAGAAATTGGAGGAGGGGGGTTTTCTTTTGGGGAGAGATGGGAGAAAATTTGGAGGTTTTGAATTTGTTGTATTGGAGCCTTTCCGTTTTGGAATTGGGAGGTTCTGAAGTTTTCTGGAGCATTATGAAATGTTTTTGAAAATTTGGAATTGGCCGCCAAATTTTTTGGTTGGCGCTGGTTCAGCGGAGCTTGTTTGAATGGGTCAGATCTGGAAGGGTTTCGGTTGTCTGTGCGCACGACTAGACTATAAACGTGCAGAGCATCTGATCAAAGTTCGGTGATTTAACGGTCCAGATAATATTTGTAGTCTAACTCTTCTGAGGTCCCTACTTTTTTTGGGTGTTGCGATAAGTGTCAACTACTAACACCATAAATGAGTTACACTTGACATATATATAATTCATAATAGGATTATAGTAGGGGTGGGCAACGGAAAACGGGTATTTGGGTATACCCGTATCCGTCCCTTTTTTAAGGGTTACAGGTACTTATATTACCCGTAATATTATAAAAGGATGGGACTTGGGATTGTACATTTCTAATATGGGTACCTGCGGGTTACCCGCGAATACCCGTTTGGGTAATATGGGTACCCGTTATACCTATTCAATACAAAGGCAGTCCAGCCCAATTCAGAACCCTGGCCATTTCGGCTCTCACCCTTGCAATTTCAATTCCATTTGCCATTTGGGCCCAGGGCCCTTACCCTTTCAGTGAGACTCAGCTTCTCTGCTATAGATTTTAGCTTCCCATGAACCTAAAAATTAGGGCTGGCTATTTGGTCCCGGACTGTTTGGTTTTACCCGAAACCGGACCGTATAACCCGGACCGGGACCGGACTGGAACCGGATAGAAAATAATCCAATCTCATATTCGGGCTTAGATTTGAGGTAAAAAAACCCGGATAAAGACCGGATAAGATACCCCAACACCTAAAATCAAGATCAAAAAGGGACCGGACCGGGTCAAGACCGGACTGTATCTAATCCAATCTTTGATCCTTATATTCCCAAAAAGACCGGACTGAGACCGGACTGGGACCGGATCAATTGGGTCCAATTTAACCGGATCGGACCGTATAGCCACCCCTACTAAAAATTTGGACACTTTCTGCATTCAACAACACAAGAAAAGTAGCAGCATGCTCCCATTTGGTTGTGTTGAATGAAACTTCTTATTTGATAATTTGGTGCTTGGAATGATTTATGTATGTGTTGTGATTGTTCATGAATGTGTTATTTGCAAATCGAGTATTTGTGATTGGGATGTATTTTGTGTCTTGTGATTGTTAAGCAAATACAAGTTTAAACTTTTGTTAAAATTTTAGTGGTTTAAACTTTGGGTGTTTATGGGTAGTATGAGTACCCGTTATCCGTCCTGTACGGGAAATGGGTACCCGTTTCCCATATGGGTTTGGGATATGAGATGGACTTTGGTCTCCAAACGGGACCGGGTACCCGTTTAAAATGGGACGGGTATCCCGTCCCGTCCCGTTGCCCACCCCTAGGTTATAGGTATAATATGCACCTCTACTATGACGTTTTATCAAACATGCCCCTCTACTATTTTTTACATCAAATATGCCCCTGTACTTTGAAAAAATTATCAAACATGCCCTTCTGTTAAAATTTCCATTGAAAAAGTCATCAATCATGGTTGAATTGAGATTTAGACGACCCGACATCGACAAAAATGGGAGGAAAAATGTCAGTTTTGTCTCCTGTTTTATTTCCCTTGGTCTTTTCAAAGTGAAATTATTTGAATGATTTGATTATACAAAAGAACCAAAAAGATTCTAAAGTGAATTTATTAGGGATATTTTAGTCATTTGTGTCGCCCAAACTAAAGTTCGGCGTTAGTTAACTGTTTTTGGATTAAAATTTTAACAAAAGGGCATGTTTGATCATTTTTACAAAGTACAGGGGCATGTTTGATGTAAAAAATAATAAAGGGGCATGTTTGATAAAACGTCATAGTAGAGGGGCATATTATACCTATAACCCTTCATAATAAGACAATTTCATATTTAAATAAAATACAGCATTATAAACAAAATTATAAATCCTCATATTTAATTTCAACATTTAACGTCAACATCTAAATGTTTACATTTAAATCCGACAAATAGCATGAACATTCATATTTAAATAAAATATGAAGTAGTATAGTGGTGACCAATTAATATTCTATGGGGCCTTATGAAGCATAAGTAAACTACGATATGAGTCAAGAAAATACAAGTTTAATTCTAAACTAATCAAGTGCAAGTTAACAAGTTTAGATCTTCCCATTGCGTAGGAGATCACCTTAAGTAAGCTCGAACTTCTCAAGTTAAGTAAGCAAGTATAGGCTTAACTATGACTCTCGATCGTGTGAGAGCTTGTTTCAAGCAAGCACGTATAAGATATCAAGTTAATAAGAATAAGTGCCCTCGCTTAACTAGTCGCACACGATCACCTTACTCCTTGTAGATGAGTAGCACATTGTAGATGAGGGTTCATGATCATGTATGAGGTATTGGACGATTGCTTAGATAGCACGATGTATCATGTTTTCCCATAGTGAGGAAACTCATTATATGTAAGTCACGATTGGTGCCGGACGCGGTCACCACTGCTCCCTATAGAACGTAGATGAGGAGAGTATGCCATATTACTCATTGTAGATAGATGAGGAAATTATGTTCATGATATGTTGGTGTCAGACGGTTGTGCTAGTTATGTCGAGTACAAGGAGTTAAGTAAAATACTATATCTAAGAATATGTTAATAATAATATACTTTAACTAATATACTCAATAACATACCATAAGCATTGCATGTGCATGATTGTGCTCTATGTCTGATAGTGAAATTAGGATTAGGACTGACCCCATATTGTTGAAGCTCCAAACGTGCGCTCAGAAAGCTGGCAGTACATCTAAAGATCAGCAATTTCAAGGACTCCAATACGAAGTTAGTTAAGTTTGATAACTAATGGGACTTGAGACTTGATGCAGTTTTATAAAGGCTATTGATTTTGGTCAAATGTTTCACGTCATGTTGATCTTTTAAATTTTCATGTTCAGTTTCTTTCCAAATAACATTTCCGCTTTCTCTCACGTATTTAACGTTTATAATTTAGTAAGGACATTTTAGTAAAAGTAGTGCTCGGCTGAGCTAAGGTATTATAGAATGTTTTTTTTTTTGCATTGACAGTAGTCTGAAGCCATGAATGCTTTAATATTATAAGAGTTCACAACGAAACATTGATAATGACACTCATAATCATTAATAACTAAGTTGTTTCGACATTGAAAATACAAGCAAAATTATTGATAATGATTGCATCTAAATGGGCAGTACCCATAGTACATGTTATTAATAACTTTCTTCTCAAAACATTGATACTGATATAAAAACTATTAATAACTAAGTTGTGTTTTTGCTGAAAATGCAAAAGAAAATGAGAATGATTGGATCTAATGGTCGTCAATCATACTACATATTATTAATAACTCTTTCTCAAACATTAACACGCTTATACTCACCCTTTAATAATTATAAAAATTATGATACTGATTATTAACTATTAAGTAAATATTGATAACCATAATGTAATTCATTAATGATACCAATATACAAAAGTTATCAAGGTTATTGTAAACCGTTCAAAAAGAAAGCAAAAAATGTTAACAACTCGACTCCTAGCCACCCCTTCGGCGAATTCCCGCCGTCCTCGACACTAACACCTTTCCCCTTCGCCAGCAAATTGAGTTTCGGAGACCCCAAACCACCACCACCGCCAACACAAAAATTATGCTCCATGAAATGATGCAAGGAGTTTGCTAACAGAATTGCCTACTCAACAAATTTAACTAAAAAAGTGAAAATATGACCCACCATATCAGATTTACTATTAACCATTTAAAACAAAAATACAATTATGAAATATAAAAAACAGCTCATCGCCGTACCCCCCTCCATCCACCTTCACCCTTTGCTTCCTGATCCTCTCCACCTCCTCTCTTACATCATCCCTCCACTGTTGTCGTTTTAACGACTTATAGACCTGGATAAATGAGCACTGGCGGAAGCAAACCCAATATGAAATCGAACAAGAATAATGAGAAGAGAAAGAACAAAGACAAGATACCAAATTTACGTGGAAAGCCCTCCAAAGTAGAGGGAGAAAAACCACGGGCTGGACAAGCCAATAAATCCACTATGATCAAGGAATAATCTTCAACTTACAAAGTTGTGGAGTAAGTAGAAACTCCCAACATAAAGGAAAAGTATTCAATAATATATTCTACACTTTAGGAGAAGAAATCGAGTTTATTCAACAACAATAGACTCCCTATTTATAGCCTTGTAAAATTGCTTATGAGATGCCAAAGAGAAAGTGAACGACACTCCCATTAATCCAAGGGAAACTCCACACAATTAACTCCATGTGGTAATAATAACTTTCATAACCCCAAGTGTCTTCCATAACTCTAAGTCTTGGAATTAATTTGAGGCATTAATACCAACATCCACCGTCACTCCCAGAGACAGAACCATCCCGACGTCAACAACGGAGATCTGGACAAGGCTAATAGTACAAAAAAAAATCTAGATTGGAGTCGGAGCGGAGGGCGGAATAGTTCCCATTCGATTCGCCTACGTTGTTCGGGTATGAGTTTGGTTATAGGGTTAAGGGGTAATTTGGGGGAAGAAGGTGAGGTGGTGGTGATGTCAAATCTTTCACCTCGGTGGCAGCGGCGAGCTCTAGGTTGAGTTCAGGATCGGCGACAAAGTCAAGGACAACGAGCTATACGAAGTCGCCGGAGCTTCTGGAGGAGAATGAGAAGCTGAGGAAGGACAAAAGGTGAATGACATAATAATAAAATCGACTAATCGGTTCAAACAGTCTTATCGGATCAATCCTACGCATAATTAACTAATTCGAATCGATCTTGTGTGGTCATATCCCAATGTTACCCATCCAGCTAGTTCGGATCGAGTTTAACAACCATGGTTTTCAGCCATGTGACTCATGTATCTCTCTTTTTCTTCATAAATTCCAGCGGTTTATTGAAGAAGAAAAAAACTAGTATGAAACATAACAATAGATATGAACGAGGAGAATAAGCAGACCGATCTGAGTCAATTGTATAAATGAGATTTCTAGGCGCGAAATCTTTTGCTGCCGTCAGGGTGGAATGGGTACACATGACATCTGAAAAATTAATTTAAAAAAGAAGAATGGTTTGAACGTGGGTGAATTAATGGAAAATTAATGTCATTGTCCCGTAGCAGAAGAATTAAAATAAAGGAAATAATTGTGGGGGTCATTATATCCCCATTGAGAATTCCCATATGAATAATTGATCAATGATGATAATTGATCATGGAGCCGAAGTAGACTTTTAGATTATAATAATAATTTAATTCGTAGTCGAGTTTGGTACGTGGGGAAGCAGCAAAACATATGGGTAGTGAATTTTTTTTATAATTCCATATCTACAGGTGTCATGTTTGGAAAGAAAGTATGGTATTATGTATATTACCATTTTCCCGGTTGCATATTGACATTTACATCACCTCACCATATAAATTCATATTTCAAGGTAATTTTTGAATATATAATAGAATTTTTTTCAAATACTAACATTGAAAAATACACTTTTCATGTATGAAAATATCTGAGTAATATGATAATTTAGTCATCTATATTGAACATATCATGATATCACTGGTTAGTTAAGATTGTATTTTGAGAATTTTAATGATCTAAAAACGTCTTGTACGGTTATGAATTACAAAATTCCTTTTTTTTTTGTCTTTTTTACTAATATATGTAAAAAGAATTTTGGCCCCAAATCTCAAAACGTGACTCCACTCCTGATTCAATTTATTCGTATTTGATATTACCAATATATTTTTTATTGTGACTGAGATTGATTTTGGAGTGTTATTTTATATTCAAAATTACAAGAATAGTAACTTAGTGATATTGAAATACCAGAAAATATGATAGATATACACTACTATACTACTGTCACATCATACATGGGAGTCCATGTATGACGTACATTACCAAAGAAAGTTTACTATTAATAAAACACAGTCCATGACCTCGCTCCCATCTTCTTCTTCTTTTTTTTTACAAAAAATAATCATATATTGATTTAAAAAAATATAATTACATCCTGGAATTTAACTAGGCCAAAAAATCAAATAAGTGCCTTGTAGTCGGGTACAATTGAAGGGCCTTTCTAGCCACCAAATGGGCTACCTTATTACTACGACATCCTACAAATGACACATTAAGCCCACTATGAATCGGGAACCAATGCCCAACTTCCACAAGAAGGGCTCCAATCCGGCTATCCCTGGTATCCGACCGATTGATTTTATCAATAATCACCTTGGCGTCACCTTCCAATCTCACTTCCATAAATCCAGACGCTAGGCACCAGAGAATAGCCTCTCGGAGGGTGAGCATCTCAGCAACCAAAGGATCATCAATACCCACAAACTGTACCCCTTTAGCCAAGAGAACCTTCCCAGCTTAATTCATGATAGTCATCCCTCTTACCGAATGGGACTCATGCTTGGTTTCCCCATCCCACTTTCAAACAATTGGACTAGGGTGAACAACCCCCAATGGTTGAACGAGAGGGACGGGTAACCGCTGAGTTCTATCAACATGCAAACTTACCCACTCCTGATATTCTCGTTTTTTCTCTGCCTCTAGTGTCCTTTTGCAATCCTGCAACTCCCACCCTTGTGACTACGCTATCATCGAAGTTCATCTCCTTCAGCCTGCCATTTGCCGTCACTTTCACTTATTAGTGACGTTTGCCTGCAACCCTTATAGCTTCATCATTTGCCAATGGTTCCTCTTCTCATATTTTTTCCTAAAAGCAGGAGGAAGACAATGAATGCTTCTTTAAAAGGCTGTTAATTTGGCCTATGTGTGTGAGAGTGATTTTTAGTGTATAAGTTAGTTCAAATTTTTTTATTTTGAAAATATAAGTTATGGTTATAAAATTCATATCAAATTTATAGAATGTTTAAAAACTTACGCTTTTACGCTTCCGCTTTTACTCATCATTTTGCTTTTACATAGAAGCTAGGCTTTGACTACATTGATGATGAGAAAGTGCACACATATTGGGATAATTAAAATAGTCAAATGACGAGAAAGTTTGAGCGAGAGTATCTCTCAAGTAAGGTTAACGTTATATGATCCAAGCACATCGATCGAAATTCAACGTGTTCTTCTAAACAGAGTGGTGCATTAGGTGAAACCATATTGTACATTGTATCATGATGAAACGTAAGAAGTACTATTTTATACCTCATATTATGACCAGAACTTCATTGTTTCACATATTTATCGTTATGATATCTTGAATTTGCTTCATGATCACTCAAAGTCTGTTTTAGTAGCTCTAGGATCGCTTTTACTATTTTGATTCACTCTTGGTAGTGTTTCATGTGTTTTCAGGACATATATCCTAGTGGACCACTTTGTATGTGTTGGGGGACATCAAGGCTCAACCTCTAGGGCCAGAATAGTCCATAATGCACCCAAATTCATCTAGAATATTCCTTGCATGGTGGCTAAGCTGGAGGAAACCTGTTGGGACTAAGACTAAGCGTAGAAGAGCGACTTTCCCTCCCCAGATCCCCTAATGAAGGTCTATAAATAGACTTATAGGGGGGTAGAAGTTTGGTAGCCATTGATAGGAGGTATTAGAGGGTCGTTACTCTGCTGAAAGAGTGACTCGCCCGACTTAGAGCGAAATCAACTTTGAGGGCAAATTAGCTCCAGGAATGGTAGCCTTTCGCTCTCTCTATTCGGGACACCGATTTGGAGAGCTTTGTGGGGATCACTTTTGCACTTATGTTCCCCCCAAAACTCGTCCTCTTGGTCGGCTAGTTCTCTTAGTTTCATAGGTTGGCAAACCCTAGAGGTTCTTGACTATTTAACCTTTCATTTTGGCAGATATATGATTTGATTTCTTTATATTTCTTTTTTATTATTTCTTTTGGTTTATTGTTGATGCTATTGTGCTTCAAATATATATCCTCATACTTGACTTTGTGAGTGTATCTTTTCATGGTACCCCATCTACAACATCGCGAATGCATAACTACCTCCTTCATAGTTGCTTGAATAACCACCCCATTCATACCCTCATGCAACACCATCACCATAAAAATGGTGGTGATAAGAGGATTCAACGCCATCCTATTCGTAACTGGTTCCACCATGACTGACATCCTTGATCTCAACATACACGTCTACAAGCCTGATCTTATATCCAGCTAGGAAGTTCTGCATCATATTAACCCTATCATTGTTAGGTATGACAACTTCTTTGTACGTGACATCGCCTCCAACAACGTTTGGATATCAGTAAGTAATTTTACAAACTCTTATCTGTGCCCCATACAAATTTGGTATGCACAAATGTCATAGAGTTCTTGCCACGTAAATCTAGTCTCAATTTTCACCATCTTCATAACCGACCCTTTGTGGGAGTTTGTCACCCGACTATTCCACCGAATAATAAGTCGATACTTCCAAAATTTACCCATGTATGTGATTTAAAAAACGAACAATCACATACAACATCCAAACCCATAATCCATCATACATTCAACTTTAATTCGAATAGTTAGCATAATTCATACTAAGCATAATTAGTGAAGCACAAACACATAACTACTTAAACATTACCATAATAAACAAATTTAGATATACCTTATTCAGAATGAGGGAATGAAGTTCTAGTGTGGTCGTGAGATTTTCCTACAAGTGTGGCGGGGAGGGAAATTTCTGCTACGAAGGTGGAGAAGAGGGGAAATGAGAGTGAAATATGATAGGAGGGTCGTGATCTTATTTGGAATCAGTTTGGACATTAATCGTTTCAAGGCAAACAATCAATACAAGATCGCTTTTGACTAAAACGATCATGCCTAGACCGCTGCACCTAACCCTATCCTCGTGTCGAATAATGTTCGTGGTCGAGTAAAGCGGTTTAGTATGATTGCTTAAAGCCGTCCAGAAAAAAAAAAAACAGGTGCACCAACCATAACCTCATGGTGAATTAAAATCACGGCAACAAAAGCGACACCTAATTAAAATCAACAACAATTACCAGAGAAAATAAGATAGGGGTTTGTGAGATAGAATCATAGAACCATCCATGGTAAGAACAACGTGCGAAATTGTTTCTATGGTTGGTTTTGTTAGGGCCAAGGTGAGAGTTGTTCTTTGTTTCCATTCCCAAATCCCACGGTTAGGCACTTAGGCTGAGGCAGGCTGGTCCACACTCTCTCTCCGGTTTCCCATTCCCTCAAGAACAAAGAAGAAGGAGGGGCAGAAACAAGCAATTGAAAACAAACAGAACCCAAACATCTTATTAATCCTGGTTTTGTTTGCTTTTTTTGTGTGTCTTCTGGAAACAGCTCGCACAGCACAGAAATAGTGAAGTCAAATCTTCTCCTTCACAGTATTAAATGGAGCTCATCCCGATCCACCCAACTTCCACCTACGACCTGGTCTCTCTCTCTCTAAGTCTCCATTAGATTATGATTATTAATTAGTAATTAAAGGGTTGTGATAGCGAAGTGATAAGGGTCTTTAATTAATATTTTCTTCTTCTTCTTCTTCTCTTTCTTTCTTTGGGGATGTTCAATGCCACTCCTATATAGCTGGGGGAAGTTAATGGAGATGATTTCCCAATCCAAACCCCAGCCACTGCAGCTCACAGCTTAGCCTTGGGGAGCGTTTGAGCCCCTCCTATTTTTAGTCTCGAGTTGCTAAAAAAAAACAAAAAGCCTCCTCCTTTCCTTCTCAAGTCTTCCCTAATGGCGGCTGCAGTGGCGGAGCAGCAGGAATGGCGAGTTGAGGAAGAGGAAGAAGAGGAGCCCTTGATAGGAAGGCAGAATCAGAACCACAAGACACCTGCAACCTATGCAGAAGCAGCAGTCATAGGTGCTTCCAACGGCACTAATGGCCATGGCAGCTTGCAGGAAACTCTCTCTTCCGCGGTACCAGTTGCAGAGGAACAAGCACAAATAGCAGGAGGTATTTCCTTCTTACTTTTGATCGATCTCCTGTGGCTTTGACATGTAAATGGCCTTCCTCAACTTTCAGTCACTGGGGGTCACTTTCTCTCACTATTCCACCATGTCTCCTCCTTTTCCTCTCTTCTTCCTTTTCTTGTTGACAACATCTTCTTAGAGCTCAGCTGTGATTGGATGAATGGACGAAACCATTTAGTTTGCTTAGACTGTGCTTTTCCCTTTTGGATTGTGAAGTCGTGGTGTCTAAATCTGGAACCCACAACCCACGATTGGTCTTCACTGTTTTTGGCCTTTTCAATGAGTCCATTCTTAAGAAATCAGCAAAACTGAAACCTGGGATGAGTGGAACGTGAAAGATTTCACCATTAATTGTGTATTCCATAACAAGCAACCAATGGTATTTGGCCCCAGCTTCCTCTTTTTTGTTCCCATTTTGGGGCACTCTGTTGTTCTGTTTTGTTTTCTTGCAAGGGTCTATCCCACCAATCCGTATGTGTAGATCTTATCTATCTATATCTTCTTAACAATGAATATAATATTGGGTTCAGAAATTAGCATCATGATCATTATCATTATCATGTCTTCACACTTCAAAGCAATCATTGTCCATGGGATTGCTCTCCTATTGCTTTTCTCCAGTGTTTGATCTGCAGTTCCTCTTTTGCCAAAGTTTAATCCTTTTCATTCCTGTCCTCTGGAATCTAATTCCACAGGCAACTTCCCGATTGCAAATTACGGTTTGTCTGAGGCTAAGGACACAAGTGGAGAATCCGGAACAGTGTTCATATCCAAGACCCTATTGGTGGAGAAGAACGAGGGTGTTACTGCTTCTTCTTCTTCATCTTCATCTTCATCTTCAGCTACATCTTCTGTAGTTGAGAATGGAAGCAGCAGCGTCATCATCGGAGGAACGAAGAATGAAGTGACAGAAGTGATACTGGAGAATGTTTACCAGAAGCATGCCACCCAAGAATTCTTCTGTCCTAACTGCCAAGCTTGCATCAAGAAGGTCATTCTTCAAGGAGCTGATAATGATGCTAGGCAGCCTGCAACTCCCCCTCCACCACCTGTTCATAGTACCTTCCGGTGCACATCCTGCTTCAGTTTCCTCATTCCCGTAGGTAATAAAGGATTACACTAAGTGGTTCATCTTTTTCCTTGCCAGTTCATTATTTTCCTTTTATATAGTCTTGACATGATTCTTCTGTTATGTTCTTTCATACAGGCAACTGGATCTTTGGCAGTAGAGGACAGGATGATGATTATGAGGACATAACTGATCAAGGTACTCTTCTAGAGGGTTCCTTTGGTTGGATGGAATTCTTTCTTGCATGTTATTCAATTGTTCTTACCAAGTTGTTGTGATTGCAGTTGATGTCCATGTTCCCCAAGGAACACCAAGCGCTCCTCCAGCCGCAACAAATGCTCCCTCGGGTGAACAAGTAGTTGTTGACCAAGGCAAAGTTCCAACTGCTGGTCCGCCAACTGCAGCACCAGTTAGTGAGCAAGGTAAAGCTCCACAAAGTGGATCAAAACCTGAAAAGCAGCCAGCCACCACAGAAGGAGCCGGGCAGAAAGAGGATGGCGGGCATGTTTCAGTAACAAGTAGAGACCCACCAACTATTGGGTTCCCTGCTGGTGGTTGGGGAGACTGGAGAAACAAAGTGCCGCCTCCGAGTCAGCCTGAACAAGAAGACTCTGGAAAGGTTAATGTGATTGTTGATGATGGTAATGCTTCCGTCAATGTGACGATCGATGACAAGAACAAAGGTTAACCGACCCCCTCACTCTCCGGTTCATTGAATCGAATGCCCATCCACATAGTTGATCTTGATCGCCAAATTCTTTACATGTGTGCAGGAGGAAGGAAAGGCATCCTTGGTATTTTCTTCAACAAACTACCGGTAATTGGAGCCCAACAGGTAGGGAACATGGACAATGGAATTGCAACTGGCCTTCTAGATGCTCAGGGTCCTGAAACTAAACTTCCTGTCTCAACCACAGGTACTGTTTTTTCCCTCGTTCTATATATCACTCTTGATGCAGCCCGCACCGGTATCTAAAATTTCGTTTGCCAACCACTTCTTGTTTGGGACAGATGAGGCACCAGCACCAGTTCCTTGGAGACCAGATGTCGTTGTTTCAGTCGAGCCGTCCACGATCCCACCACCAGGAAGAGTTGCTAGTGGTAGGCAATGGGACATCCTGAAGAGCATTGTATATGGTGGTTTGGCTGAGTTAATCACAAGTCTCAGCATTGTCACTGCTGCTGCTAGTGCTGATACTGATACATGTAAGTTGTGGTAGCCTCATTACTTGGAGAGTCCTTGTGCTCAGAAGCAATGCATCAACTTATTTTTGACAATATTTGTTCTTTCAAATGATTTCAGTGAAGATCATGGCCATTGGAATAGCCAACCTCATTGGTGGACTGTCCCTCCTTGCAACCAATGTAAGAAAGCAGCAGCCCTTTTGTCCTTCGATTCTGCATGATGTAATAATATGCCAACTTTTAACACAGAAGAGCATTCGAACGACAGATAAGCGACCTTAAATGCGAGCAGCCAAGGAGGTTCATTGTCTCCCCCGAGACACAGGAGGAAGCAGAAGTGGATCGATACTGCGACCTCCTCGGGCAGAGAAGCAACTTCAAGCGCCATGCTTTCTTTGCAGTGCTGTCATTCCTTGTTTTCGGCCTTGTCCCTCCAGTCGTCTATGGCTTCTCGTTCAAGGAGAGCGACAACAGAGACTACAAGATCGCAGCAGCGGCCGCAGCATCTATCGTGTGTGTGGTACTGCTTGCCTTTGGGAAGGCTCATGTGCAGAAGCCGCCCAAGACCCACTTCAAGACGGTGCTGTTCTATCTCACAGTTGGTTTCATGGTGTCGGGGGTTTCTTTCGCGGCAGGTAACCTGTTCAAGAAGGTTATGGACGATCTTGGGTGGTTTGAGCCAGTTGCAGAAGCTCCCCCTGCTGCTGCAGCTGCTATTGCTGGGATGGCATCCGGGATGCCTGCTTGGGGATCCTATTGATCAGCTGGATGATCACATCAGCGTACTGGAGTCGATGTAGTAACGAGATGAAGGATTCCTTTGTCGTTGGCAGCAGTTTAATTAAGGCGGAATTGTGGGGTTTTTTGAAGAGCTGTAGTTGATGAGGGTAAGTAGTGACATGTTTGATGTTTGTTTGAGCTTTTGATGTCCTTAAAAACATTTTCTGCTCCTGGTGTTTCCAGTTTTTGTGAGTTTGTGAAAGCAAAAACGACTTCCCAAATTATTTGTGTTACGGGTGTAGCCTATTGGTTTTTGTTGTTGGTTCCTGCAGTAAATCTCCAATCTTCTTTGTCGTATTCTGGTTGCGAATTAAATCGGTGATTAAGGAAAAAGAGTTCAGGATCTTCCTGTCGTATCACAGTATAGCGGCATGGAAAGTTCAGACTGCGACTAATGCTGCAATGCTGTTAAGTGTTAGCAGCAAGACTTTGCACAATATTGGAGACATGAAATGTTAATGGGAACACAACTTCGGACGTTATTTACCAAACGTCCAAACATCATCACAGTCAAGAATAGCTTATGATCAGGAATCCCAAACTGAATCTGAAAGCCAAACCTCGACTCCTTTTCATGGTGAGATCCATCATTCTCAGTTTCCACCTTGGAAAACCTACAACATGAGCCTGGGGTTTCTTCTGCCTAGTTTTTTTTTTTTTTGATAAAATGGAGGCAAATGCCAGAAGAACACAGGGGAAATTAAACAGCCCCTAACCACATTGGCCTAGAACAGGTCAACTCTAAAACAAAGCAAAACCAGCTCAATCCCAAACAGAAAGGACTCTTAAAGCAGGAATCAATCAGAGTGGATCACTTGACGGGGAAAGCTGACTCCCAAAAGGTCTTCTTGAAGCATTGTCTTTAGATCCGGAGGGGGTCCATCAAGTTCATACGTACCAAAGGGATAGACGAGACTGTGCTTCGAGAGCCAGTCCGCGACTCTATTTCCTTCTCGATACGTATGAACGAGTTGGACCACCCACCTTTGCGCTAGAAGTCTGCGAATAGCTCCCAAGATAGTAGCGTGAGGGTGAGTTTGATCTGTTCGATTTCTGATGAGGTCCAAAGCAAGCTGGGAATCTGTTTCAAGTATGAGAAACTGGGAATCTTTTTTCCAAGCAAGTTGGAGGCCTTGGAAGATGCCCCAGAGTTCCGCCATAATGGCTGTACCTGATCCCATCTTGCTGACGAAACCCCCCAACCAGTCTCCCTGATCATTTCGGAGAACACCTCCTGCAGTTGCCAAGGTCGGGGTTCCTTGCGCTGCCCCATCAGTATTAACCTTCCTCCACCCCGTTGTTGGCAGATTCCAACCGATAAGAGCTTCGTGTCTAGCAGGGCGAGCACTAATAGTTATGTCGAGATTCCCTGCTTGCCAGGCCTTGCTCCATTCTTTCGCCTTAGTCGTCACGTAATTAAACATGGAAGAAGGGGTAAGTTTCTTGCCCCTGAAAATACTGTCATTCCTGCACTTCCATATGTACCAAAGAATCAGGCAGAAGTAGGCAGCCCAGGTGCCTGGCCAATCTCCGCTTGACTCGTTCATGATGTTTTCTTGCAGCCAATTCTCGTAGCTTGAATTAAAGAAGGAAGACTGGTGTTGGCCGGCAATGATCCTGTCCCATATGGCTTTTGATACTCTGCAGTCTCTCAAGCAGTGCAGATTGGTTTCTGGAGTATCATTGCAATCTGGGCAGCTGTCATCATGGGTAAGGTGTCTATGCTTCCTCTGGCTGTTCGTCGAGAGTTTACTAAGCGCAGCCATCCAGACGAAGACGCGAACTCTTTCGGGGACTTGTAACTTCCAGATGCGTTTCGAGAGAGTTGAAGACGAAAGAGTCTGGTGCTGAGGTGAAATGGCCTTGAAGGCAGAGCTGGCCGAGTATTGTCCATTCGAAGAGAGGTTCCATATGCATATATCTTTGTCTGCCGAGATCGGGTCCACCATCACAGATCTGATCTTGTTGACAATTTGAGGCGGAAGACTGTCTTGAAATTCTTCTAACTTCCAGCCACTTTCCACTTCCCATAGGTCCGCTACCCGCTTGGATTGTCTCTCCTCTGATATCACTTCTGTAGCTTGCTCTAGTAGAGGTACCTGGGACAACCAAGGGTCAAGCCAAAAATAAGTATCACGGCCATTTTTTATATTGATTGCATAGCCCTTTTTCAGGACATTAACAGTAGAAGTAAAACTTCTCCATGCTATGGAACTCCCCTTTCGTTTCTGCAACACTTCGAGCTTCTCCCTCGAACGAGCATATTTATCTTTCAGAACTTTCACCCACAGCGACTGATCATTTGATACTAACTTCCAGCTGGCCTTGGCAAGCATTGCTTGGTTGGCTAGTTTAGTCGATCTGATGCCTGCCCCACCTCGACTTCTGGGTAGAGTCATCTGGTCCCAGGCAATAGGATGAAACTTTGTTTTCCCGTCCTCTTCCCCCCATATGAATTGTCGATTGCACCTGTCAAGAGCATGACAAATAGACATTGGCAGTGCTTCTGTAAACATAGGGTAAACCGCCATAGAAGACGAGATTGATCTCACCAGAGTTAAGCGAGCAGCCAGGGACAGGTGGCGTGTCTTCCAAGCAGCTAGTTTTTTCTGAATGCGAAGACATAAATCCTTGTATCGAGCCTTAGTAACTCTGCCATTAATTGTATTTATGCCCAAGTACCTCCCAAGGTCAGAGGTCAGGGGAATACCCGCCTGGTTACTAAGTCGTTGAGCTTTCTGTCTTGCTATATTGGAGGAGACCATCATGGATGATTTTGAAAGATTCACCCGCTGCCCCGAGCTTGAACAGAACTCATCCAAGCATCTCTTGATTATCTCGATTTGACCTGTTTCAGCTTCAGCAAACAAGATGAGATCATCCGCAAAGAAAAGATGAGAAAGCTTAGGGCCATTATGAGTTAAAGAGATAGGTTTCCATTGTTTATCTGCTACTGCCTGCTCGATGCGATGTGCCAACCTTTCCATGCAAAGGACGAACAAATAGGGTGATAGGGGGTCACCCTGGCGAACTCCTCTGGACGGTGTGATGGGACTAGTAACCTTCCCATTCCAATTGATCTTCATATGATTGTTTTCGACACAAAACATGATTCGGCTAATCCAGGTACTTGGCAAGCCAATCTCCATGAGTGTGTCTCGAATGAAATCCCAACGCAACCTGTCGTAAGCTTTCTCCAAATCCACCTTTATAACTAGCCCTCCTTTTTTCCCTTTTTTGTTACGAAACGAGTGTAAGACCTCCTGTAAGACAATGATGTTGTCGTTGGTTTGTCTGCCAGGAATGAATCCACTCTGAGTCGGCGCCACCAGCTTGTGCATTACAGGTTTCAGCCTGTTCGTGAGAGCTTTGGTAATGGCTTTGAGCCCGACGTTGTTGAGGGAGATCGGTCTGAGGTGAGCAGGAGTTTCTGGGTGCTCAGTTTTAGGAATGAGAATAGTGGTAGACTCCATCATTTCGCCTGGTAGAGTCCCTGTATCAAAAAACCGAGTAGCCATATTAGTCAAATTTTTTCCGACCTGCTGCCAAAGCTTTTGATAGAAAATAGCTTGAAACCCATCTGGCCCGGGAGCAGAGAAGGGTTTCATGTTAAAAATAGCTTTGTGAAGGTCTGAAATGGTGAAAGGTCTCAAAAGAATTTGCAGCTCTTCCGAAGTCAGTCTCGGGAAGCATTGTTTTGGCATTAGATCATTGTAAATCGGATCGTCTTGAGTGTATAATGAGGTGAAGAACTCCACGACAAGATCCTCAAGCTTTTGAGGGTCATCGATCCAACCCCCACTGCTGTCCCGAAGTGCTAGAACTTTGTTCTTTCTTCTTCGACGGGTGGCTTGCTGGTGGAAGTACGAGGTATTCTGCTCCCCCAGTCGAACCCATTTTTCTTTAGCACGTTGGAACCAGATGACTTCTTCTTGAGCTAAGAGAATATCGAGTTCTGCTTCTATCTTGGCTTGAAGTTTCAGGAGACCCGGGTTAAAGCTTGCTGCAATTCTCTCTTGGATTCCTTGAAGCCGAGCCAGCAGCCTTCTCTTCCGATGATGAACAATGCCGAAGACCATTTTATTCCAATCTTGCAATTTAGGGGATATGTCCTTAAGCGCTTGCTGTAAGTCAATCTCCTTGTTCCAGGCTCCTGTAAAAAAATCGACAAACTGGTCGTGGAGGAACCACGCCGCCTCAAAACGAAAAGATTTATTAGTATTAGTAGGAGGCAAAGGAGAGCTAGAGGTAAGAATAGGCAAGTGATCAGAGTGGAGTTTAGGAAGGTGGCGAACTGTAGTGTTAGGAAACTGCGAGTTCCACTCTGAATTGCAAATAGACCTGTCAATCCTACTAGCTTTATGAGTTCGGTGTGTATCACCCCTACTCCAAGTGAATCTAGGGCCCGAGAAGCCTAAGTCAAACAAGTTGGCATGATCCATCCAGTTAGCAAATCTTTGACAACGTCTGAGAGCCGCCGGGGAGATGGAACCAAGTTTCTCAGATGGCAGTCGATAAGCATTAAAATCCCCGGTGAGAAGCCAGGGGAGATCATACTCTTGGCTAGTCTGAATAATCTGATCCCACAAAAGCTGGTGGAATTTGTACTGGGGGCTTCCGTATATCCCTGTTAGCAGCCACTCAGAGTTTTGCCGGTCAGACACTTTCACTGTGAGATGTTGTTTGCTAGCATTGATAAATTGAACTTGAAAATCGTCTGATCTCCAGGCCAGCCAAATCCCCCCAGTGCGCCCTTCCGCATCAATTTTTAGAACCTCAGAGAAGCCCAGACTTCCACACACAGCATCAGCTTTATCGCCATTTATTTGAGGTTCGAAAATAAGGAGGAAGTGAGGACTGTAAGTTTGATTAAGCATCCTTATCGTGCGGCGAAACTCCTTACTACCTGCACCACAAACATTCCAAGCTAAGATATTAAAATTAGGTTGACTAGACATAGGAACAGAAAGAGGGTTAGAAGAAGATCCTGCAAGAGACACGACAGAGATTAGGTATCTAGTGCCATCTGAGGTTCTGTGATCAAAGGTCCGTTGCCAACAATCCCTTGATTAGTCGCCCCTCCATCTGCCATATTGACATCGCTGGTTTCTCCCGTTTGGGGTATCTCATCCCCGCTAGCCATTTTCTGGGTGTGATGGAAGAATTTCTCTATGGATTCGATAGTGATTGGGAAGTGCGCCTCTTTAAACTTGCTGGTTAGTTCCTTTTTGGCGGAAGAACTCAGCTGTAGCGGCTTTTTTGTTGCTTTGAGATTGATCCCCTTTGTCTTTTCCATTGTCGACGAGCGATCAGCGTTCTTCCTTTGGTAGTGATGACGAACTGATGGGTGAGACTCATTAGGATTCTGATTTTCCTTCTGGGCGAGTATCAGAGGAGGGACTTGGATAGCGTGGATCTTAGTGTTGTTTGGGCCAATGGTGAGCTTTTGTTCCTGGGCTTTTGTCTTAGAGGAAGAGGCTCCAAAGGCGGTCATGGAGTGGGCTTCTGAAGAATGGTTATTTTCAAAGTCTTGGCCTTTATTATCCACGACCCGCCACTCTTGGATTTCCTTCTTCTTGTTTATATTGCCTTTTTCCTCTTGAGCCAAGGCTTTCCCTTTCTGAGTTGTAGCATTTCCTTTCTTGTTTACTGTCTTTTGATCTCCCTTTGCTTTTGCTTCCAAAATAATCTTCCCGTTTGCTTGATCCTGCTTTCCTTTTGTAGAGGCCGAGCCGTTGCCTACGTCATGCCTAGAATCCCTTGATTGAGTGATATTCGGCGATGCATTTGCGGAAGGTTTTCGAGATGACCGCCGAGATTTACGCGTCACCTGCATCCATGGACCAAAGCCAGAGGGGGGCTCCGGCGAGTTGTTCGTCGGCGGCGTTGGTTGGCTCTGGCCTGGAATGGTGACCAGCGCAAGGTTTTGTGGCGGCAGTAGTTGCGGACAATCCTCCTCCACATGCCCAATTCTCCCGCATTCATAACAAATTATGGGGAGATTCTCATACGTGATTTGCTGCCAAGCTCCGTCGAGTCTTATTCGCGATGGAAGAGGCCGCGTCATGTCCAGTTCTACAGCAATCCGAGCAAATTTGCCTCTTTCCAGATTTTCTGTGTGATAATCTAGCTTGACCGTTCGGCCAATAAGATTACCTAGAGCAAAGAGTATCTCCCTGTGATAGAAGTGAACAGGGAGCTCCGGCAGTTGAACCCAAGCTACTACAGACCGATGTGGTTTATCAGACGTTCGGAATGACGGTGACCACTGATGAACGATTAGGTAATGATCTAGGATGACCCATGGACCCCCTGTGAGGGCTCTAACGTAATCTTGATCATTGCCGAACGTAGCAAGGAACGTGTCGTTATTCAGATCCATGATTTCCAGGGATCCCACCGGCCGCCATTTCCATCGGAGTTGGGAACACAGGTAAGAGTAGGAAACTGTGCGTCCCAGAAGCCGAACTATTAACGTCTTTTGCCATGGTTGGCACAGCCGTTCTTTAAGATTCGCCGAGACTCTGAGTTCCGGTTCTCCCTCAAAGGAGCCAGATACCAGATCATGGGTCCCCACAAACGTCCATTGCTTTTGTCTGGAATTGTTGTCTTGCCCTTTGCCCGCCAATGCTGTTTTAAAGCTCATGGGTTGAGAGGCAGCAACCGTCGCCGGGCTTGGGATTTGCGGATGGAGTGTTGGTTTGCCAAAAGTCAGATTATTAGTCGATTGCATCGGGGCCTCTGTTGGTGATGGAGTGACGAGAGTGTTGATCAGCGCCCCTGCAGGAGACGGTTGGCCTTCTGGGTCCGGTGGCCGCCCCGATTGAGCCAGGGCCGTCACCGGCGGTAGACCTGTCAGAGCGCTATTCGAGAGCATAATTAACACCATGAATGAAAACTCTATGTTTCTTCTGCCTAGTTGACAGTCCCTTTCTGCTACACTTTTTTGCACTCTTTTAAATTAATTGCTCTGGCTGCCAGCAGACAGTTTTATGTTGCTTTCAGTAGAGCACTCCTGATCATTAGCCCAGGAGCTTAAGGCCTCGTTAAACAATCATCCAAAAGAAAGAAAAATGACTTATTCAGCTGTAGTCTGTAGAAAAGGATGCAAGTGCAAAGAAAATTAAAGAAAAGATTTGTTTTTAGTGGTTAGGCATATTGATTTCAGCCGTTGGATTTGAATTTCATTTTAATCCAATGACCTCATATCAGCCTTTGTACTCTATTTTGTTCTAGTAGTCTTTTGTTTTTACTGACCCAATCCGATGGTCTTGAGTCTCGACTAGTTTTATGACTTTTATCCGGAAAAAATCCAAAAGTACCATTGTTTAAAAAAAAATTCCAAAAATACCACCCAATCCCAAAAAATTCCAAAAATACCACCCTTTTTCAAAAACCGTCACCCCACCCAGCGGTTTGGTCGAAAACCGCTTGTCGGGGGCGCGGTTTTGGACCAAACCGCGGGCCTAGGGGGCGGTTATTAAAAAAAAAAAAATTTGGACCAAAACCGCTGGGTGGGGTGGCGGTTTGGCCCAAAACCGCCACCCCAACCAGCGGTTTGGTCCAAAAATTCGGTCGAAACTTCAAACGAACGTAACTTTGCACTCGGGAATCCGATCGTAGCGATTTTTTTTTTCATTTCGCATAACTTTTCAAGATCTACAACTTTTACTAGGATGAAATTTTCAAAACAGGAACTATTTGTGGATATACGGGACCTTGAGAATAACTTTAACTTTACTTTTCAGAAATCCATGTACATTTTGAAATTATGATTATATTAAAAGTTGTAGATCTTGAAAAGTTATGCAGAATAAAAAAAAAATTCATGACATTCGGATTTTGGAGCACAAAGTTATGGCCGCCCAAAGTTTGACGAAATAAAAAAAAAGATCGTTCGGGGTGGCAAATGACGTTTTTTCGAGACGAAGACGGAACCCGACTGTTTGAGACTTGCAAGATCTCAAAAAGTTATTCGGATTCAAAAAATGGAGGCCGCAAACTTTTTGAGATCTTGCAAGCCGCAAACCGCCGGGTCTCGCCTTTCGTCAAACTTTGGGCGGCCATAACTTTGTGCTCCAAACTCCAAATGTTATGAAATTTTTTTTGATTCCGCATAAATTTTCAAGATCTACAACTTTTAATATAATCATAATTTCAAAATGTACATGGATTTCTGAAAAGTAAAGGTAAAGTTATTCTCAAGGTCCCGTATATCCACAAATAGTTCCTGTTTTGAAAATTTCATCCTAGTAAAAGTTTTAGATCTTGAAATGTTATGCGAAATGAAAAAAAATCGCTACGATCGGATACCCGAGTGCAAAGTTACGTTCGTTTGAAGTTTCGACCGAACTTTTGGACCAAACCGCTGGTTGGGGTGGCGGTTTTGGGCCAAACCGCCACCCCACCCAGCGGTTTTGGTCCAAATATTTTTTTTTTATAACCGCCCCCTAGGCCCGCGGTTTGGTCCAAAACCGCGCCCCCGACAAGCGGTTTTCGACCAAACCGCTGGGTGGGGTGGCGGTTTTTGAAAAAGGGTGGTATTTTTGGAATTTTTTGGGGTTGGGTGGTATTTTTGGAAAAAAAATTTTAAACAGGGGTACTTTTGGATTTTTTCCCTTTTATCCACTACATTTTCCCCTTCCTCTATTTGTATCGGTTCTTGGGTTTAGAGCTAATAGGATGAATATAACCGGAGTATAACTAAATCTGAGCGCTTCATTCATTTGAAGTGGATCTCATATATAAGGGTTGAACAATTAATGACTTTTTATTTTTTCTAATTTTCTAAGCTGGCTTTTATATATATTTTTAATTTGGATTTCAATTATTTTTATACAGATGGAATGAGTTTGTTGTGCTATATAAAATGAACTCCATTTTCAATATATTTAGAGATTTTTTTTATGCCACTTATTACCACCTTCATACCATATGCTATCTCCTTCATTTTTAAGTTGATTTTGAAAATTTTCGCACAAAATGTAAGAGAATGTGGTGTGAGCGTGGAATGGGAAGAGAGAAGGATGGATGGTCCAAAACCACATTCCATTTTTTGAATTTTTTTAATCCACGTGGATTATTACTAATTAAAGAGACTCGCCACTTCAGCCTCCTCTTAATCTAGTCAGCTTGTTAACTGATGCCATTAAAATATTGAACGCAATTGGACATTTTGTATATTTGTAAAAAAATATCTATTATTGTTACGAACGCCAAAGTTTTGGCTATAGATAGGGGTGAGCATTGGGTGGTTGAACCCGCAAGTCCACTCAAATCCACTCGCAATCGACCCACCCATTATCATGTGGGTGGTTCCTATGGGTGAGTGTGGGTTGTAAACTAGGTGACCCACAAAAGATTGGGTGGGTGCGGTTGGACTGTGGTTGACCCATAACCCACCCGACTTTTTAACCTCAAACCATCAAAACTCTAACATATAGTTTTACCAAAAATTAAACCCTTTAAATACAAAAATGCCTCTCAATTTTCGATAAAAAAACTGTGTTGTGAGGTGTGCTTAAGTAATTGAAGATACACTTAAGCATAACTAGTAGACAAAATGACAGAAAAAGACAGTTGTCTTCCCCAAATGACATCATCTCAAACTACCACCGATTCGTCCTTCATTCCTTTAATCAATTTGGAATTTTAATTTAGGACTATAGGTTAAAAAGCTATTTACGCTCACAATGCCTAGGTGAATGAGGTGCTAAGCAAGACCAAAATGTTTGCCTTATGCCTAGTGCGTTCTTTTACCTTCGTTATTATCAGGCTTAGACCATGTTTATTAGTTGAACATTTTGTAATTTTTGAACAATTACCAATACCAATATTGTAAAATGAATGATTCACCTGAGTTATGGGTTAAGCGTTATTTAGTTTGAAAATTTCCTTCATTTTGAGTTTAAAACTATTAAAATTATGTGATCATATGAAATATATGTTGTAAACCCATTGAATCCACCCAACCACCCATCATCCGCAATCACCCAACCCAACCCACCCACACGTAATGCTTGGATGAGTGTGAGTCATTTTTCCTCAACCACCTCGTAGTGCGTGGTTTCAAATCTACCCAAATTCGCATAAAACCACCTATAGCTCACCCCTAGATATGAAGATGTATTTTGCTTTATAAAACTATCTTCCAACGACAAATATTGTGCCGGAGCTAGATATAGTTGAACAAGGCCCAAAACAATTAAAAATTTACGGATTGTGGACGAGATTGGGCCAGAGCTCTGGTTATGGATAAGGCCCGACCTCATTAGTTGAATGATTCGGCCGTGGTTTACGGGCCAGCCTAAGTTCTACCGTGTCCTGATAAATACCCATCCAGTTCAGCGGTGGTTGCATATCAGAAAAGAGTTTGCAAGGAGCGTGTAGAGCGACGAATCGGGTTCAAAAAGAAACTAGGGTTTATAATTGTACGAGTTTCTTCCGTTCAGCGAGTCGCTTACCATGATCTACGACGTCAACTCTCCTCTCTTCCGCTCTTTCCTCAGCCAGAAGGGCGGCACTTCGGACAAGAGGTATTCTTTTCCCGTATCCATTTCCCTAAAGAATGTTTAGGGTTCTACCCGAAAAATATTTTCACGGTTTTGCGATTTTGCTTCTATTTCTTAATCGGCTATGTAAAATATGCGTCGTCGAAGCATCTCGAATCATGATTGTGCTTGGATATGATTGATTGGCCATTCGAAGGCGTAGTTTGATGCTCCTGTTTAAATTTTAGCTATAGACTTTAGGAATTTGATGGTGGCGTACTATATATGTTGGTAGTGCAGAGGAATATTGGCTGGAATGGACTTGATTATGACCGAGGGTTTTCGGACTTGGAACATGAATGTGTTCCAACGCTCATTCTCGGGAACAAGTTTCGATTTCTCTTGGCTAGTGATTGATTGGGGATCCTTGTTGTTTGTTGAGCCAAAGTTTGATTTTGCTGGTAGTTTCCTCATTTTTTCAAGTTTATGGTGTTTGACAATGGTGTTTCTGTTTATCCAGTTCTCCTGCCTCTGCTGTGCTAATACCTCTCCTCGAAACTTTTTAAACTATGCCATTGATCTGCATCCTTAGTGATACTTCAATCAGTTAATCTGCCTTATGTGAGAAATTGTAGTGCTCTTGCTCTGTGCCGTTTTGCTTTCTAATTTCCCAAGTTGCGATGTGATTGTTTGAATTCATAGTTCGTCAATTTCTTCCGTGCTGCTATGTAGTTTTTTCGATACCATGATTTCTGAACAAATTTGTCTACTGTGTTTTCCAGGAAAATGGAGGAGCAGAAGCCCAAGGAGCAAAGGTTCAAAGCTAATGAGAATAAGCCAGTTATGACAGAGTAAGACCTTATGCGAACAAGAAAGAAAGTCCTTATGATAGCACCGATGACTGTTCTTGTGTTACTATAATGGCCTTTTAATATGTGATGCATTTCGTTCTCGAAGAACCTCTTAAGTCTGTGAATTTAAGGCAAATGTCTGTATGATTGCTTGGGAGTTTGTTATGAATGAGCATGTCGCTTTTGAGGAATGGTATGATGTTGTGATCTTACCGAGATGCGTCCGTCTCCCGTGTGCCTTACATTTTATTTTTCTGCCCATTAAATTGTTTTTCATTCTGAATCTCCTTTGCCGATGGTGTAAGCTTATATTCTACAGAGCTAATGTTGTAGTGCAATTTGTCTGGAGCTGCCCTGCAATTTGGTCAAATATGATTGAAAGCAGTTAGTTGTTTAGCGTTTGGTTTTCACTTGGCGGAGGGACACAGGAGAGCCCCTGAATTGTGAAGCCAAAAGATTAGTCAGCAGTGGGTTATTACGGGAGGCTTGGAATCAGAGACAGGTGAGGCGATCGCTGCTGCCCTTAACATCATGTTAGACATTCCTAAAATCACCATAGTCGTCGGTGGTGCAGACGAAAGAAGAGGATACGAGGAGATCGTCGATGAGCTTCCGATTCAAATCGAGAGATCGGTTGGATCATCCTGTCGACGTCCATGGATCTGGTTCTCCATGCTAGCAGCCATGTGTGGATGAAGAGTTTTGCTGCGACAGTGGCCCGTATTAGCCAAACTCTTAGGGAGCAACAATCTCCCATTTTCCTTGTTATTAAAAATCAAGAAAATGAAGTCATAATGCCATTACTCGTAGGGCTTTAATAAACGAAGTAGGGTGGGTGAGAGTCGGCATCTTGCTCTCCGTTGGTCACGGCTAAAGTCGAGCTCGCTTTGGAGCTAAAGGGTAAATCATTTGGTAGGCGGGGGGCCCTTTTCTTTCTTTGTGTTGATGATTATGCAAAATCCATAATGCCATTTCGCACAAGGCCAATCAATGGACGATGGATGAGTAGCTTCATCAAACTTTTGACTCATGGTTTTATGTTGTCTTTACTATGGAACTTTGTTTTGACGCCCGTGGATTGTAGTTTGGCAGACCACAGCCGTGGGTGTATGAACAATATATGAAGTTAGATGTGTGTCTGGTAGGTAACCAAGCCACTCATGAATGATTCGGCGTCTGATTCGAGAAAAATTCGTTCGACACTCGACTCGTTTTAATCGAGCCGGCTCACGAACAAGCTAGTTAACTAAACGAGTCGAATTCTAGCCATACTATGTTCCGCTTGAAAGCTCACAGACAAGATCATTCAACGGTTTGGCATCAGAATTTATTGGAATTCATAGACTTTAGGCATTGAAATTAGGATAAATATTGTTTTTATTTTATTTTGCTAGACTTTGCTACAGGTTTGAATGTAATTTTGCGCTCATTTCTAGCTCAATCTTAAACTATCACAAACATTTTATAAGTTGAACTCGAGTTTGGACTCATTAAATTCATTTGGCGAGCCGAGCTGGAGTCAAGCTCGAACTTTCATTTTCATAAACGAGCAGCGACTTGAGCTTGCATATTACAGCACGTGACGAACTCGAGCCGAGCTCGAGTTTGGAAATATTTAAATTAGCCAAACCCGAACTATGACAAAATTCGGCTCGACTCTGATCATTAACAGCCCTAGTCCTGGCAAGAAGGAAATGGCAAGCAAGGGAAGGTGTCTACTATAACTTATAATGCAATAGAGTGGTGGTGACATCTAAATAGTCAACCATGAAAAAAGCAGGTTTCCTTTGGAATTGGAAGAAGTCTCCATGGAAAAGGGGGAGAGAAAAGCCTGGGGTCTCTAATCTCTATCTAACAACCTCTTTTTTAAAAAAAAGGGAGGCAAGTAATTGAGCAGCCATGAGTAGCTTCACCATGTGCTTTGCAATTCAATCACCTCCCCAACATCTTCCACTTTTTGATTGATTGATAGTCCCCCTCCCAACCTCCGCTTGTTCTTTGATGCTCTCTTTATGAATCCTCAAGTTCAATGACCTACTTATGTTGGTAGTAGAGTTCAGTAATAAGAGTGCACGGTTAAATTTTGGGTTATTTAGCATGCAATTTCAATAGCGATGTTGCTGCGAGTTTCGCGTGAATTGAGCTACTTAGACTTGTCGTTTTGAAACCTATTGAAAATGCCTATGCATTTTAATTAAGTAACATTGAATGAAGAAGACACATGGGAGTTATTGTTTGGTTGATGAGAAATGATATATGTTGGGAGTTGGGATAGTTGAGATTGAGAAGAAGCCAAGTCATGTGGAGGGTGGTTATCTTGTTGTGTACTATATATGCAAACGAATTTCATAAAACAGTTGGTGCAAGTGCAACTATGAAATGTGGCGAGGTCATGGGGAAGATCGTGTTGCGTAGTTTGGCTGCAGGTGGGCAAAAAATCAATTGCGACAAATGGGATAATACATATGGCCTGCTGGCCCGTATTGCATTATGACATATATAGTATTATTATGATGATGATAAACAAATAATGCATGCAAGTGGAGTGTTAACGCCGTGCTGAGCTCACGACACTATTTCTTCCTTTCCTTCTTTCGCTAATAATAATTGAAGTGGAGGCAGAGGTAGGCCTGGCCGGCGGCATCTACCATTCCTCACTCAGTCAGTCGTCACTAAGGGTGTGCAAAGGTTTGGATTGGACCGGATCAAATTCAGGAAGACTACGGCTTAATCTAATATACATATATTATCGGACCTTTTGAATAATAGTCAAGAAGACCTTATGAAAATTGAACATTTTTGTCTAGAAGATGTAAAACATATATTGGGTATTTTTTGAAATAAAAAAGCATTTCACAACCGATTTGCCAAAGGAAAATTTTTCTAAATTCAATACATTTATATTCAAAATGAATTTTGAATCTTTAGAGCACTCCATATATTTGCGAGATCGATAATTTTTTTATTAAATAGATGTTATTCAGGTAAACTTTGCTTTGAAGCGACTATTCCCTAGATACACACGCGTGAGATTTTTTTTATTTTAAATGAAATCAATTTGAAAAAGACCTAAAGTTAGCGATTTATCAATAGGTAATGTTGCTCCAATACCTAACCAAAGGGCCACTAAACTATAGACCTGGCAAATTACAATCCGACCCGTTGACCCGACCCAAATCGCCCCAAAAGTAGAATTTTTTATAACCCGAAATTCGAATTTCCCGAACCCGATAACCCATGATTTTTTGGGTCGGGTTGGGTGGGTTAGCGAGTCGACCCTTAGACCCGTTCCATTTTATATATCACTCACAAAATGATAAAATAACTCATAAATTTGTGAGATGTTTAAAAAAAATCACAAGTATTTGAATGTCATGTTTGGAGTTTAAGAATAATCAAATATCATGTGTTTCTTGTAGTAGTATACTAGTATTACTCTTGCGATTGTTTTTTGACGATTTGCGCAGTTTGTATTTCATTTCATTAGCGCGAGAGTATTTGAGAATATGTTAATTGACATGTGTTAGATAACCTATTGTCATGCATATGTGAAAATTTGTGTTCTTTAAGAAAATATGAAGCATGTTGATATTGTTTCTGAGAATGCTCATGACCGAAATGACCTGTAACCCAACCCGAAACCGAACGGGTTGGGTAATATGTGACCCGAAATCAACCAACCAAACATGACCCGACCCATAATCGAAGTCCCCAATCCAAAATTACCCAACCGGAACCGATTGCCAGGTCTACTAAAGTACCAATAAAAAAGACCGTTGTCGCGACGGAACACCGATTGAAAAATATTTTAGAATTAAGAATCGGATTAACACTATATTCGGCCAACTTCAGTTTGATTTAGTTCGATTCAAATGTCGATTCGGTCCATATTTCTTCAGTATATATATAATTCAATTCAAATGTCGATTCACTCCAATCTAAATGTCAATTTGATCCAATGTAATTCAATACGAACTAATCCATTGCACAACCCTAATCGTGGTCTCTAATATTTTTTGCTCGGATATCATTTGGATGTTTTCCATAGATAGTTTTTACTGTGGGGCTCCGTCCTTATGCAGAGTTGGTTTGCTACATGATGAAAATTCAGAGGGAACCGATTTACTGTGGGCCTTACTTTCCCTTTTCCCCTCTTCCCTGCTCTCTTTCTGTTGTCTCCCTCCTTTTTCTTTTCTCACTTCATATTTGCCCTCACCCCTTCTTCACAAAACCCACCAACACAAAAAAACTCTGCTTCAAGCTCAGTATAGCCACCACCACTCCCCCTTGTTTCCACATCAATCCACCACGTTCAATCCACTTCCAACAAACACAACAGCTATGACCGAGCTCACAACACCATCTCCATCGCCGCCACCACCACCTCACAACAAGCCAGCTCCACAACACCACCACCACTTCTCCACAACAACACTCCTTCTCCTCCTCTTCTCAGACATCCACCTCTTACTCTCCACCCTAATCTCACACCCTCTCTACCTCTCTTATTTCCTCTTCTTCTCCCCTTCCTTGCTCAAGCTCCTCTCTTTCCTTTCCCCACTCTTCCTCACCACTTCCCTTCTCCTCCTCTCCATCCTCTTCACTCTCTCCCGCCCATTATCTCCCACCCACCAATCTCTTCATGATTTCGATTACTCTGCCACAGAGGCCCTGCAGGTCTACAACATTGTGTTTGATGTTGGCGATCAATTATTAGCAGCACCACGCCATCATCAGCTCGATGGAGCAGCAGCAGCAGCAGAAGAAGAAGAAGCTGTGAAGAAGAAGAAGGGTAACTCTGATTTGGAACCACCACGGGAAGGAAGCATCATGACTTTGGCTACCCTTTTGCATCAAAAGCAAGAGGAATTGGGAGACATGCTTTTGCCAGGGAATCATGAGGAGGAGAAGGAGGAGGCGGGAAAAGAAGTCAAGGCAGCAGCTCCACCACCTAGGGTAAAGTCGAGTAAAGTTGAAGTGGGGCAACGGGAGGAAGGCTTATTAGCCGGACCCAATAATGAGAAATCTGGTCTTAAAGCAACAACAGCGACAAGTGGAGGTTTTGAAGAGGCCAACTTGGGGAGTTATGGGTCGATGAGGAAGGAGAAAGAGTGGAGGAGGACACTGGCCTGCAAGCTGTTTGAGGAGAGGCACAATGCTGACAGCAGTGAAGGGATGGATTCGCTTTGGGAGACATACGAAACAGAGTCGGGGAATAATGGCAATTCTGGTAAGGGTTTATTGAAGGTGGAGAAAAAGAGCAAGTCTAAGCTAGGGAAGAAGAAGGGGGCGAGCAACAAGATTGGACACCATCATTATGATGACAATGACGATGATTGTTATGATGTAGCAGGGAAAGAGGAAGAAGAAGAAGAAGAAGAGATGGGTGGTGGTGATGGGAGATTATGCTGTTTGCAGGCGTTGAAATTCTCTGCTGGGAAGATGAATCTTGGTGGGATGGGGAAGCCGAATCTGGTGAAGATCTCCAAGGCGTTCAAAGGCTTTGGGTGGCTGCATAATGTCACTCATAGGCATCCCAAGGCCAAAAGGGTACCTTTGAATTGAATTGGATTGAATTCAATGTTGGATCTTCCTCAACCCCTCTGTTTCTTCTTTCTTCTTTCTTTGCTCAAACTTCTGCTCCAATGGTGAAATGCTTAGAGACCCATCTGTATTTCCCCCTAATCTTAATGGTAACCACTAGTAAATACTGATGTTCTTGTCTAACAATGTCCATAAGTGTTCTAAATCAATTACACCAGTTCTCAGGATCTGCTTCTCTACTAAAACAATTACACCAATTCTCAGTGTAAAAACAAACTGAGAATTTTGTCACCCCTCGCTCACCAGAATAGTCTACAAAACATGTTTTAGCCATGATTGAATCCAGAAACATTGACCCACACTATAGTAAGGCTGCGGGTGGCCCTTTCTTAATCTAGTAGGAGAGTCTCGTGGTTAGTTCACATGTCTTGTCATATCCGCTGATTTCTTGGCGTTTATGGTAGGATGCCCTTGCTGCACAGGCATCCAAGGCAGACAGAGTTGGAATTTGAAGGTCTGAAAGTCGTAGTCTGGTGGAAGGTTCTGATGCATCTTTTGACTAAAAGAACTTAGAGAAATTCTAAGTAACTGGCTACAAAAAGTGTTGTGTCAGCAGGATTTTCCCTAGTGAAATTAAGTGGACAGTGGATGGAAAACAAGCATTTTTTTGGCTATTAGATCTGCATTCAGGAGTTTTCAGGTTTGCAATAAGCAGCAAGGAGCTGCTTGATCCATTTGGTGATGTGTGGAAAGGGAACTGACAAGAAGGAACAGTCCATTTGATGACAATACTGCACCAAAGCATCCAACAAAACAGGGCAGTTAAAGAATGAAGGAGAGAAACAATGTGGTGCGAGGGTTAAATCCTTCTCAATTAAGAGAAGCATTGGAATTTTTGTATCGTTAGAGCATTTATATAATTATATTCATGCAATTGTAAACAAATTGCATATATTTTTTTATTGTCACCTTACAATTTAGGACTTTGCTACGGTGACATGCATGTCACGGTGACATGCACTTTTCGGTCGACCTCATATAAGATCAGGTCGACCTAATCAGTTGTTTCAGTGTACAAACAGTTTCATGGTGCCTACTTTGGAGATTCATATCTTACAATTGGTTAGATGGAAATTGGAGATTAAAGGCTTTTTTGAAGCTGAAGTGTCCCTCTACACATTAAAGTACTTGGGAGCTCAATAGAAAGTCCAGAAGACCATTTTTTAACCTGACCAAAAGGCTATATTCCAAAACTGGGAAACTACCTGAAAATGGCTAAGTCTGGCAACGTGTTTGTCAAGCCTACTTTGGAGCTCAATTTCACAAGCATGGATGTGAGTCAAGTCCAGGGGCCTTTACCACGTTAAATTACGTATTTTTTTATACAAATGCAAGACATTGAATGAAAGATTGAATATCTTTAAGGCTTCAAACAAAAGGCTCAAAGTTGCTATGAAGGCTGTTTTTCTGGCAGCTTGCTTGTGCTCGAAGTCTGCCAGGAAAACAGCCTTCGTAGCAACTTCGACCCTTTTGTTTGAAGCCTTAAAGATATCCAATCTTTCATCCAATTCCTTGAATTTGTATAAAAACATACCTAATTTAACGTGGTAGAGGCTCCTGGACTCGACTCGCATTCATGCTTCTCGAATTGAGCTCAAAAATAGGCTTCACAAACACGTTTCCAGACTTAGCCATTTCTAGGCAGTTTCCCAATTTTGGCATAGCCTTTTGATGAGGTCAAAAATGGTCTTCTGGACTTCCTATCGAGCTCTCAATCACTTCAATATGTAGAGGGACACTCTAGCTTCAAAACAAGTCATTAGTCTTCAATTTCCATCTAGCCAATTGTATGATATGAATATCCAAAGTAGGCATCATGAACTGTTTTTACACTGAAACAACATATTAGGTCGACCGGATCCTATATGAGGTCGACCGAATCCTAAATGAGGTCGACCGGATCCTATATGAGGTCGACCGAATTCTATATGAGGTCGACCTAATCCTAACTGAGGTCGACCGGAAAGTGCAAGTCACCGTGACATGCATGTCACCGTAGGCACACCCATTTATTCAATTCAACTCATATTTATTTCATTCTATTCACATCAATACAATTCACTTGCAAATGCGTGGTAGATTAATTGATTTTATATTAAACAAAAATAAATATATAAAGGAAGAAATAAATAATTTTATTTTTCTATACGAGCTTGCATCTTTGCAAGTGCCTACTAAATTGGTGCAATTCTATTTGCATTGCATATTGAATACCATGTAAGATTTTCAATTGACCAAATATCATTGAAACTTTACCCTTAGAGATATGGACCCAAATGTTTCTCTAAGAGTATTTTTGTTTGGATAAGGGTGATATAGATTTACTGTTTGTGGTTTAGGTACTACTTAACCTGGGACCTCCAGTTTCTCTAAGAGTACTTAATGATAACTAAAATTTTAATCTAATAAAATTTAAAAATTGATAAAACCCAAAAACATGTCATTTAGCCTTTTAGGTATTTTCATATCATTTCATGGTGTCAATGGTTAGTATTTCATCAAATACATCTCGATCCATTCCTCGGTGTAATTTATGTCATTTTGGGGTGTATTAGATGATACTTGCGTTTTAGGCACAAAAAGGGGGGTCACAAGTGTAGGAAAAGAAGCGAAACAAAGAGATCGCGACTAAAGGGCGTAGATCATTGTCGAGAAGATGAGTCGCGAAGTCAAGCAACAAGATCGCGACAGTAGGAGTAAAGCACGCGCCCGCGCCCGCGATATGGGGAGTGGCAGTTGTGAACTTGAGAAAGCAGCCACCAAGTAATGGACAGGGAGTTTCAATAGTCGACTCGCAGCCTCGGTTGTCCAAGACAACGAGAAGGATCACGACCGTGAATTACGGATTGCGATCGTGAAGTCGGGCTGCGAACTCTCGAGCTAGCCCAAGCAAAAGCTTTTCCTTTCAAGATCGCGAACTCGCACCTGACGTTCATGCCCATGATCTCCTAGCCAACAATCGCGAACTTGTCCGTCCTCATGAAATCTATAAATAGAAGACTTCTTCTCCTTTGCAAAGAGAGCTGAAATTTCTAGTTTTAGAGAGAGATTAGAGAAAGTAGCTAAAGGAAGGAGAAGAAGAAGGAGGAGTCAAGAAGGAAGAGATTTCTCATCCCATTTCTAGTTTTCTTCCCCATTCTTTCATGTTTCTTCTTTACCCCTTTATGGGGTAGTTACTCAAGGTACTAGGGGTTTAATCCACAAACTCTAGTTTTTAGGTGTTAGTGTGTAGAAGGAATTTTGTTAGGGTTGGTAAATGGAATAAGTTTATCTAGGATTTATATGCATTTATCTATGTTAATTATGCTTGAATTTGTCTTCCATATGCATTTTATGATTGCCAAATTAGGGTTTGCATGAGATGATTGTGGATTTGAGTGGTTTGACATGTTAGTGTAGATGAATGATCTAGGGGCCTAATTGGTGGTTGAGGTGATCATCTCCTACCGATGGGATTCCCACCTAGGTAATGCTTGGGAGATACGTGCGTGGCCAATTGACATAACGAACCAATGTGCAGATAGATGCAACTTATTGAAAGGGAATCGACTTTATCCCTAGTTCGTAAACCTGATCGAGATGACATTGGGTCAGCCGATCGGATTAGGAGCGGGGCTAGTTGCATGACCATTGAGCAGGTCCTCACATTAGTGATTCCCGCACTTCGTTCTCCACAAACCGACAGAGTTATCCTTTTGCATGATAGGCCTAATAGCTAGGGTGAGGGTGATGCCCCGAGTACCTGCATTTTATCTATGCTTTCATAGCCAGTTATTTCCCTTTGTTCTCCAAACAAACCTAAACTTGATCGACTAGATAACGACCGAGTGAGAAGTAGCCTATGATACGAGACCCGTTGAATACAACCTTGGTCAACCACTATAATGACAATGCCATACTAAGTTACTAGATTCGGGTTCGCTCGTTGGGCGGATATATTTTTTACTTTTTTTTATACAACACCTATCATTGGGTAGATAGCGAGATACATTGCGTTGATTTCATAAACAACAATAGTAATTGTTCAGAGCAAGTTACGTTATTTGGTATGATAAAAATATAATTTATTATAGAGCTGTTCGATATTCTAACTGCTTCTCTAATGTAAGGATAAAAATAAATAATTAAACTCATTCTAGTGAGTGGACTCCTAATTAAAAAGGGTAAATACGAATTATTAGCCAAATCTTTCCCGTATTTTTAAATATTAGCCAAATCTTTCAATATAGAAAATATTAGTAAAATGTTAACTTCCAATTAGCAGTTTTGTTTGCAATTTTGACTTGACAACATGATACTGACTTTGAAGAGACACGTGAAGGTCAACATTCCAAAAGTTTAGTATTTTAACTAAGAAAATAGTTACTTTGAAGAGACACATGAAGGTCAACGTTCCAAACCATGTTGACGTGGTTAGTTAACCTTGTGTCTCATTTTTAATTATGTATGTGTTTTTTTTACTTTAGTTACTAATTTAATTATTAGTAGTTAAATTTTTATTTTTTTTTATTTTTAATAGTATAATATTGTTAGTTAACATTTTATATTATTTTCTTTATTAATTGCCTAGATGGAACATGCAAAGTCTATTTATTATGCGGACACCAATAGCGAATGGAAGTTTCAAGAATGTTGGAATCTACTCAAAAATTCTCTCAGATTCATGCAACAATTTTATGCCCCCGTTGCACCCATTCCTCCAATGGATGGATTTTTCTCGACCATGTCAAACGATGAAGATGATAGTCCTAGAGTTCAAGCAACTGCTTCCCCAAATGTGCTCAACCGGTAGGTCGAGATCAGTCAAAGAGGAAGAGAAGAGGAGGTGTTGATTCTTCTACCATGGAGGCTTTCCAAAAGAGCTTGGCGGAAATGGCGGCAAGTTCAACAACGCATATGAACGAGAGATCATGCTTCAGGATCTTTCTCAATTGGATCCTCAACGAAGAGCATGGTATCAA